CCAGAATTCCTCAGCCAGCTGGCTGAGGAATTCTGGGAGTTGAAGTCCACAAGTCTTAAAGTTGCCAAGGTTGGAGACCCCTGATATAGGGTATTCTGTTGCAAGCAGAGGAGTGTAGTATTCTTCTAGTGAAATACTTCTGGACTCACTCAATTGTATTAATGTCCGATGTACAGTGCGGATTCCAGACTGAAGAGCTGTATTTGACTATTGGTCTAGCAAAAGTTTTGTAGGCTCTAGTTAGCAATTCGACATTTCCGGATGAGAATCTTCGTAAGATTAGATTTACAACTCTTAATGCCTTTTTGGCAATGCTGTTACAATGAGCTCTGGCGCTTATGTCTTTTGATATGAGAATTCCAAGGTCCTTGACAGAGTGAGGATCATCAACGAGGTCATATCCGCCTAGTTTGTATTTGGTGTACTGATATTTTTTACCAATGTGTCGGACAGAGCATTTGTTGGTCGAGATTTGGAGTTGCCAATTGTTTGACCATTCAGACACATAATCAAGGTTGTTTTGAAGGACAGTAGCATTGTTGGTAGTGTTGAATAGTTTTACGTCATCCACAAAGAGAACACAGTTGATTATAAGGTGATTGCAAAGGTCATTTATATAGATATAAAGAGTGTGGATCCTAGAACGCTGCCTTGGGGACACCACTGTTAACTGGAGCAGGGTTTGATATAGCGCTCCCTATTTTTACTATTTGTTGCCTGTTTGACATGAATGCAGTCCATGGGCCTGTCCCAGATCATCCAGAGCCCAACTAGTGGTCGTACACCCAATTTGGTGTTCTTGTTGGAGTAATGTCTATTTGACCTGGAATTGATGGACCTGTCCTTGATCCCCTTGTCATAGTCGGATCACAGTCTGGTGGCAATGAATTTCTCAAAAGCTGCACACACCCCCACAGGGAGGCAGGACCTATTAGATTGGTCTGCCCCTGTCGACTAATGGACCCGGATGACTATAACTGCAGATTTACTGTGCAGTCCAGCTGAGCTCTTAGTACTGTTCGGAATAGGAAGATGACTGAGGCTCTGAATAGGATTGCACCCTTGTGACCTCTCCTCACCCAGTGACCTCTCTGTGTCCCATGGTATACAGAGGAACTGAGAGGGATGAAATGTATGAGATGTCTAGAGCGCCACTGGAGGAAGACAGGAGATGAACTCGATTGAACACGGGTAAGAGCTGTTGCTAAGGCCTACCTCGTGGTGATTCATGCGGTGAAGTGTAAATACTTCTCCGCACTAATTGTATCTGCAGATAATTGCCCAGTGACCCTCTTTAAGGTGAGCCATCTCCTGGGGAGATTGAGGTCCACCTGAAGGGGCGCGCTGAAGAATTTGCAGATTTCCTGGAAGACAAAATCACTCGACTTTGTTTCTAGTTAGATGCCAATGTGGTTGCTGATCCAGTGGAAGTTCCTGAGGCAGGTTCTTGCCCTGTTATCTGGGAATGGTTTGACCCTGTTGCTCCTGAGGAAGTGGGCAGGATCCTAGGGAGTATGTATGCAAGCCCCTGTGTTTTAGACCCATGTCCCTCCTTGTGAAAGCTTCCCAGGAGATAACAGGCGGATAGACTCTGATGGTGATTAGTGCTTCCCTACAGGAGGGGACAGTGTCCCAGAATGAACTAGCTGATGGCTTTCTTAAGAAGCCATTGCTGGAGTCCACCTGGTTGGTTAATTTCTGACCTCTCTCCAATCTTCCCTTTTTGGGGAAGGTTGTTGAGAAGGTGTCGCACAGCAGCTCCAAAAGTTTCTGGGTGAAACGGATTATCTCAACCCCTATCAGTCAGGATTCAGGCCTGGATTTGGGACATTAGTTGCACTTCTGGATGATCTCTGGCAGGAGCAGGATGGGGGTAGTGCATCCATCCTTGCTCTACTTGACCTCTCAACAGCTTTCAATACCATTGATCATGGGATTCTCCTGGGGCGGCTTTGGGGGATGGGAATGGGAGGCCTTGTGCTGTCCTGGTTCACTTCTTTCCTCTGTGGCCGCTCTCAGTCAGTGTTGATAGGAGGGGAGAGATCCAGCCCTCACCCACTGCTTTACTGGGTTCCACAGGGCTCAGTATTCTCTCCACTCCTGTTCAACATTTATATGAAGCCATTGGGTGAGATCATCCGTCACCATGGACTGAGGTATCACCAATATGCTAATGATACTCAGCTGTATGTCTCAGCCCGTGGTGAGTTAAGTGTTACTGTGTCCTCCCTTTCATGGTGCCTGGAGGCTGTTAGAGGCTGGATGGGGAGCAATGGGTTGAAAGACCAAGTGGCTCTGGGTTTGGGGTTCATTGGCTCAGGGAGAATTGCCACCTTTGGTCTTGGATGGGGTGGCACTACCCCAAACAGACCCTATGTGTAATCTAGGGGTTTTCCTGAACTCATGACTCCTGCTCGAAGAGCAGATGGCGGTCATGGCCAGGAGGGACTTTGTGCAACTGCGGGTTGTGCACCAGTTACACCCTTTCCTGGACCAACGGTCCCTACTCACAGTCACTCATGCCCTAGTCACTTCCTGTCTTGATTATTGCAATGCACTCTACATGGGGCTGCCCTTGAAGAACATCCGGAAGCTCAAGTTGGTGCAAAATGCAGCGACCGCATGGTTTTGTGCAGACCCCGGTGTGTACATGTTTCACCACTCTTGCGTGAGCTGCATTGGTTGCCGATTTGCTTCCAGGTGCAATTCAAGGTGCTGCTTGTCACCTTTAAAGCCCTTCATAGCTTGGGACCAGGTTTTCTGAGGGAACGTCTCTTGCCGATCACATCTACCTGACCCATTAGAGCGTGGAGGCAGGGAATGCTGCGGGTCCCATCCCCGAGGGAGATACACCTGGTGGGACCCAGAAGAAGGGCCTTCTCCATGGTGGCTCCATCTCTCTGGAACATCATTCCCCCAGAGATTAGAATGCCCCCTTCTCTAATACTCTTCCGGAAGGCACGGAAGACCTGATTCTGCCAGCGAGCCTGGGGAACCCAGAGCGAGATGGAGCCCATCAAATGGCTCATGTGATCTGCTGTCGTCGGGGCAGGGGGATGTATCTACAAAACAAAAGACCTTCAGCTCCAGGATGATGGGATGAAAAACAGAACATGATCCTTCAGGACATAATAGGATTAACCCACTACCATTTAGCAAAAGACACAGAGCTCACTACATTGCACAATCTCCTAAGGGCATTTCAGACATTGCATAAACCCACCTAGCAGCATCTCATCTCTGAAACTTATAAAAAATTCATGTACTCATCAAACCAATTGGTCAGCTGACCCAGGACTGTTGGTTCTGTTCATCATTAAACTTTCTTTCCAATCAGCCTTCATGTTTCCAGTGTCTTTCTCACAGCCTGGAACTGAACCAGATGGATATTTCTTCCAACAGCATGAAAACAACTTATAATCCTCATGGCAATAAAAGAAATTGATGATACATGTATAGTTGGGTGATTGCAGAGGTCACATTTATTACAATTGCATACTGGATGAATAAAGCATTATTTAATTTGTGACATACAATGTCAGGAAAATCTACATGCCATATACCAGTGATGGCTAACCTTTTTGGCACCAAGCGCATGCATGCGCATCCCCAAAATGCAGTATGCACATGTTCCCCATGGATGCGCCCTGCAGATGTGTCCTCCTATGCATGCTCACATGTCCCACACACATGCACAAACATCCCCTTGCATGTGCACGCATCCCTGTGGATGCATCCCACCCCCTCGCACATGCCCCACTCTGGAGGGCGACGGCTCACATGCCCAGGTTCGCCACCACTGCTATATACAATGCAGTCCTGACTGCCTAAATTGCTAGTTCATTGTGTTTGAGCTTGTGTGCCTATTCTTGGTGCACTGCAGAGGGCAAACTAGCTTACAACAACTGACTAGGAAAACAGATCTCTACATGTTGAAAATACAAAATGTATATACTTTTTTCTTCAGGATAACTAAATGATCCTAGACAACAGAAATGTCTGGAACACATTCTACCTCTGGTTTTACTAAGTAACTACAATTACACAAGTTTACAAGCCACACAAGTCTGAACTAGTTAGACTCGTCTTGGTTTGTTATTTTACCATAAAGCTAATTCTCCCACCTCCATGGGTTTTGAAGTCAGTTTCCTGATCCTACATTTTGCCACGCCCCAAATTACATAGGAGACATCAGAGTTCTAGAAAGTGCGCAAATCTTACAAATATGTCACTGAGTACAATGTATAAAACTGACGAATATCTGCAATATTAGGATATCACCGTTTTCATTTATTTCGTAAAGTTAGCGGAATTATACGTTCCTCCCTGATTTACAAAAGGTAGAGGAAAACGAAAATCTCGCTGGGCTCCTTCACTAGCAGGTTGCCCCACCAGTTTAATATAAATCACAAAGCATTAAGGACCCTAACTTTATACAGGTCTGCAACTAGGATTTCCTATTTCTCAAATTCTAAAACTATACTAAGGCCTTTTTTTAAGAGTCCGCCAATTCACTACCGCCGTAAACCCTAAAACGAGGCGGCTGTAAAATGCGAAGACGTAATTTAGGGAATATGGCTTGTGAATCATTGGCTAAAAATCTTGTCAATCAATCTTCACTTTTCTACGATCTTTTTGCCTACTATCAGTTTAGCAAGATTAAATTTCACATTAAGTGCGAAAACGCCCGTGAAACAACCCGTTATGAAATTGGGATGGGTGGAGCAACAGCCAACATGTGAGGCGCATGCGTAGTACGCAACTTGCCTGTGGCAGGCGCTAAAATTCAAATCTAATGAGCAGTTATCAATTGCTAAGCAGAGTGAAGCAGCTTGGTTGCAGACGGAGCGAGTGGCTACGGTGGCGGCAGGGGATACTTGTAAAGATGGATCCTTTCACCGAGGTACGTGATTACCTCTACTTAATGACTCAATGAGGCGGTTTTTAAGTGTGACTGAGGATAAGGGAGGTGGGTAATGAGAAAGGTGGGCATATTGTGCAGCGTAGAGAAGAACAATGTTAGTGGAGAAAACCGATTGGGAAGAGGAAATGTTGGGGTAAGAAAACAGACAACCGAGTTTACAGAGCACCAAGGACTTCATATTCAATCTAGAGCCACTTATATTCGCTTCTTGAGATAGGAAAGGAAATATTACCAATAAAAAATAGTATGAAGAGAAACAATTTCTCCCCTCCCCCAAACCTGACTTATGCGTGTTTACTTACAAGTAAATCTTATAAATGGAGATTCACTTTCAACTAAAAGGCCGCGATGCAATGCATTCATTAAATGTAATGCAATTAATTTGTATTTAACTGGCAATATTTATGAATATTCTAAGTGGACCCTGCACTTGAGGGATTGCGCTGGGAAGAAGAAGATTATGAGTTTTGTCCTTCAATGTAGAATTGCTGCATAAGTCTTTCAATTCCTCATTTCTAACAAAGATTATTCTATGGGGTTGAGGGTTTGATTTGTTTTAATACCAATGTCGTGGTACATAATTGCCAATAGTTATCAAGAATGTTTCAGCAGTTTTTTTTTAAAGAAACATTGCTCTCAAACCGCCTTTTCATGTCTTGACTCATGGGGAAAAATGAACTAATGGGTGTGGCATTTATGAATTGCTTTTCTGTTGGCTTGTCAAGATGAAAAGAAACACAAAAGCAAACAAGTTAAGTTACTACAAAAATTCAGTTTAGAATTGTTTTTATATAACTTGAAATTTAGAAAGTTGTCTACTGTATACAATATTTAAGTTTCAGAGCTAAGGTTGTAAATAGAACAAGTTGATCAACCTCAAACTGAGTTTCCCTTAAAATCACTTACATTAAAAACATTATAATTTGGTTCTACAAAAGTTGGGTATTTTAGAGCAGAACTCAAATTAATTCAAGTACCTAAAATTTCAGAAATTATTTGCATCTCTTGTACAGAGTTAGTTATTAGTTATCAAATAATCTAACTGAACTATTATATTAGACTTAAAATTGCCTTTGTTTCTAAACACTTCATAAAGATTAAAATTTAACAGCCCCTGATTATAGCCTGGTTGTCATATAAACAGGTACAAAAGGAATAACAAACATCTATGAAAAAATTTACTATGTAAAAACTATAGATTAGAAATGAGCAAACACTAAATAATTAAATCATTCCTGGCTGGGGCATAAAATACTCCCTTTCCTATTTTGTGTTTTTTGGGAGTAAGAGATTCAGCCTCTCAATAACAGTCAACTTCCTAATATATTGTAACAAGTGGGTCAAACCAGAATTCTCCTCTTGGTTCTGTAGTCCCAGGACAGGGTTGTTTTGTAATTTATTCATAATTACTCTAATTCAGTATCATAAAGATTGAGAGTCTTGTTCTGTTATGCCAAATTTGAATATAAACATTTCTAGAAGCAAGATTATTATCCCTTTAATTAAAGTGGTGTGGCATAATTGTGAACTGTTTGTCACTACATTAAATATGTGTTATGCTTACATGGAAAATAAAGTTTTATAATGTACTAAAATCTTGATAAATGGCTGAGTAGTGCTTAGATAATGAAAAAAAAATGAATGCAACTGACACATTTTCTGGAATAAAATATTTTGTTCACCTTTTGCATTATAATATCTTTTTAAATTGTTACTGAACATCTGTCAACCAAATTTAAACAGTAAAGCCTTAGTAAAATTGCTCTAAATTTTTATTAAAGGTTGAAAGTAATAGGTAGCATATTTTTATCTTTTCAGAAAATAGAATTGTATTAAAAGCATTTTAAATTGGAATTAACTTCCTTTAATCTGGCAGTTTTATAGTGGTGCCAAGCACTACATGCCAAACTGCAACTCTAATTTTTTTCATGACCAACCATCATCTTTGATGGGCTATGATTGTGCACTGATCTCAAACAATGAGCCATCGATTTAGAGTTGAAGCAGATTTATCAATTTATCAGTTTTACTGATAAATTGGAAATACCTTTTGTACTGTCCCCTGTACACAGATGCTTGCCAGGAATTATTACCTCCATTCTTTACTAAACATAGTTCTAACTTGTTTTTTTTTCTTAAATTCTTATTGGGTCAATATGATTTTATTTCTTTAACCATAGCTTAATACTTATACCAGTTGTTTGTATACTATGTCATGGTATATATTTTTAAAATATTTCCTGGGTATTTTAGAATAGTTATTTCTTTTCTTTTTTTTATCCTAATTAATTGTAATTTTCTTCCATTATTTGCTGATCTGTGACCTAATGAAATTGGTTAGTTAAGAATGATAATAAATAAGATTTCATCTTAGAAGTCTTCTAGGTGTTGTGTTGCTTCTGACTCTTGCCTTGAGAATGACAACTTGGTAGCCCATGAGCCACCACCTATCTTTTGAGGGCAATCTCTGTGCGTTCTGGCAATTAAAAGAACTCTGTGCGTTCTGGCTACTTAAGAGAAAAGCATATGATTACAGATTCAGCCCTTCCCTTCCCTTGAGAGATAGCTTAATCTCATTAGAGAAAAAACTAAATTATATTTTTTTTTTAAAGATAAGACAAAATGTAGACACATTACAAAAGAAAATCCAAGTAAAGTAGGTGATGCTGAATTGCTAGCAATGAATGCTTTCACCTTGTGAAACAGGAGATAATACAATTTAAGCCTTAGAAATACATCAGAGGGTATATCTTTGCTATGACAGAATGTAATGGAGGACTAGATCCATCCCTCTAGATCAGGGGTCAGTAACCCACGGCTCTGGAGCCACACGTGGCTCTTTTATTCCTCTGCTGCAGCTCCCTGTCACTCAAAATATGTGTCACAACTGCCAATGTATGACACCCGCCGGCACGTGATTTATTGAGCTTTTCAACCTCCGGTAGGCCAACCATAGGTAAATCCAAGAAAAGAAAAGTTTCAGAAGAAAACAATGTTTAATTCAACTACATATGCTAGTTTTGTGGCCAGAAATAGTCAGCAGTGGGAAGGGTTTTGTGGCTCCCGGTGTTTTCTTTTCTGTGGGAAACTGGTTCAAATGGCAAGTGTTTAAGGTTGCCAACCCCTGCTCTAGATCTATACAGGGGTGTCTCAGTATTAATGGCTAAAACTGTTGCCTGGCAAGGATACAACCTTCAACTATATAATTCTTAATTAAGGTTAAGGTTAATCTTATATAAGAGTTAGTTCAGTGGGTAAGACATCAGACTAGACAACAGAAAACAGATCCAGTCTCACTTTAGGAATGAAGTTAGCTCGGCAATTTTAGGCCAGTCATTGTCTCTCATTTCCAAAAAATTCTTGCTGTTTAGTTGAAAACTGACTAAAGGAGTTGAAAACTGACTAAAAATAAAAATCTTATAATAGTGTAGCATATTTATATAATACCATTGCATTGGTATTATTTAAACAATAGGACATATACGCTTTACAGATATATTTGCAGATATATTTAATTTAAATTTAAACATTGTCTTGATTATGTACTACTTGTAAAATATTTTCTAATATGGATTTATTCACTACTGTATTTCTTGTTCTGCACTTCAATTAATTAATAAACCAGAATAAACTCAGCATCTAAGTAATCTCACTTTTTCATTGAAATCTGATAAAAATATAAATCCTCATTTAGCAATGATAACTGAGTCTGGAAACTTGGTTGTTAAAGCAAAATCGTATTTGTGTTTATCATCTTACTTCAGCTTTCCTTTGTTTTACAAAGATACAAATAGGATTGTTGCAAAATTACTTTTTCATCACTGAAGTACCATATTTGCCGGCATATAAGATGACTTTTTTGCCCTGAAAAACATGCCTCCAAGTGGGGGGGTTGTCTTATACGCCGGCAAATACGGTATATCCACTGCCGGCTTTCGGATGCTTGTGGGACGCAGTGAAGGCGCCTCTGGCTTCCTGGATCCCCCGCGTTGCTTCCGCCAAGAGCCTCCCCGCGTCTCTGAATCAGGTTCAAATCCCGCTCGCCTCGCTCCGCCCGAGGCTGCAGCGACTGGGGGGAGCGAGAGCGTGGGTCGCTCCTGTCACCCCAGGCAGGGCCATGTGAAGGTTGCCCGCCTTTCTGCTCCTCCCACGGCCCCTGGCACTCCGCCCTGCCGCTGCAGCCCCGGGGATTTCTGGAGGGCGTTTCCGGTGACCCCGCCGGGATCGTTTGGCTGACCTAGTGGACGTGTTGCAAGAGGACTCTGTTGCGGGAAAGCCCGAGGGAAGGGCCAGGGTTCTGGAGTAACGCCTGCCTACTCCGTGACACGCTCCTTTAGACAGTCCATCTAAGAGAGTTCAAACATCCTTCACTCCCAACACAGAATAACATACACACTGTGTAAATATTGGATGATTAGTTAATTATCCACATTTTAAATAAATGTAATTGTGTTCCATATTTTGTATTTCATTTTCTATACTTCTACATTTAGTTGTATATTTTGTTTATACATGATAGTGGTCTGAGGGCCTGCCACAGGGAGGAGGGGGTCAAGCTATTTTCTAAAGCGCCTGTAGGCCAGACAAGGAATAAGGGATGGAAACTGAACAAGGAGAGATTTAACCTGGAAATAAGGAGAAACTTTTTGACAGTGAGAACAATCAACCAATGGAACAGCTTTCTCTCGGAAGTTGTGGGAGCACCATCACTTGAGACCTTCAAGAAGAGATTGGACTGCCATTTGTCAGAAATGATGTAGGGTCTCCCACTTGGGCGGGGGTGGGTGGGTTGGACTAGATGACCTACAAGGTCCCTTCCAACTCTGAATATCTGTTATCTGTTTACTTTTTTAATTTAAATGAAATTTACCCTGGATGTTTGAATTGGTCATATAGTTTTACTCAATTTTTTTTACTCAATTTAGTTTTACTGCTGTAAAGCAGAGTAAGTATGTTGCTTACACAGTGTCTTAGTGGTAAATGATAGACAGACACATGTAAATACGAATTTATATGTATAATATCAAAATAACTACCGTATTTGCCGGCATATAAGATGACTTTTTTGCCCTGAAAAACATGCCTCCAAATGGGGGGGTCGTCTTATACGGCGAGTATATAACAAACTCTATATTTTGAGTGGAAATGTTGTGGGGTCGTCTTATACGCCCAGTCGTCTTATACGCCGGCAAATACGGTAACTATCAACAGTTGCTAAACAAGGCACTTACTAAATGATAACCACCTGTATTCATTCCAGTTGATACTAGTAGATCCCATTGTATTAGTTTCTCATTGGACAAAAATCATAGGTTTGTTTGCTTTTACAAAGAATTGTCACAAATTAAAAAATCACTATAGTTGTTAAAAAATATTTACCTTTTATCATCCTTATGAACGTTTCAGAAACTGTTAGAACGAACTCGTGCCAGGAGGGAGAATTTACAGAAGCTGATGTCTGGGCGTTCCACAGCAGAAGTCCGGAATATGGCTCAAACAAAAAGAAATAGAGAGCCTTTATCAGAAGCTGGTAATCAGTCAATTCAGTCTAATGAAGAAGGTATTTTTTCCCATTCTTAAAAACCACTTGCCTTTTTCTTATATTAAAATGTCATAAACTAAATATGGAGCAGGAGTGTGCATTACAGGTTGTTGTGAGTATCCTTCCAGGTTTCTATTATACTAAAAACAAATGCAATTACAATTTTAAATTTATTTTTAAATTTTATTTGATCCCAAATTATGTATTTGAGGAGTTATATGAATCAAATCACCTACAAGTCCAATAATTAATTATGAAACCCAAGTTTTAAAACATCTAGATCAGGGATGTCAAACTGGATTTCTTGGAGGACTGAATCTGGATTGTACTTGTCCTCTACAGGCTGGCCTGGGGGATAGGAGATGGGACGGATCCTTCCTGCAGCATCCTGCTGGCCAAAATGGGGTGCGGGGGGCTGCTAGCAGAGGCACTGCAGCCGATCCTTTGCTATTTCCAGGCTGGCCCCGTGAGCTGGATCCAGCCTATGGGCCTTGAGTTTGACACCTCTAATCTAGCTTTTCCAATAGCTTCTCTTATTTGTGATGTGTATCCAAACTTGGATCTGGATTCAGAAAGTCAAGTCTCTTATCAATGATCAGTGGGCATCAATGAATAATGAAAAATCTTTTTTTTCTTTTCTTACGAGGCATAACTAGGTGAAAATAGGATTAATATAGTTGCTTAACAGGATAAGCTTGTTAAATTAATTATGATCTTTTTAAAAATGAACTCACAAAGCTATTAGATGAAATTTCAACAGAAAAATAAGCAACCCTGCGGCAGCATTTCTGATAACTGGTTTAGGTGTTTTTTTCCCTCCAAAAGTAAAATGTTTATTGTGGTGGATTCCAAACCAAAAGCATGTATATCTCCCTAAGAAACTTTGTGTTATTGGCAAAATAATAGAAATAATAAACCACCTATAGCCAAGAAGCCTGTAAACTTATCCTATATTCTGGTTTGTGAAATCTGACTTTGTTTTTAACTTAATGCTGCATATTCTAGTTAAAAATATGTTTATCTTTCTTCCCCATCCCACCCCCAAATTTCTATAGCAAAACCAAGTACAAAGCCATCACCATCCAAAAGACATTGTTCAGACAATGCAGAAATTTCAGTTTCTAACTCAGAAAATATGCATCCAGTTAATTTATCCTCGATAAATCCAGTTCTTCCTGAAATGACTCCTACCTCTCAGTTTGCTGCTTCATCCTCAGAGACTGAAGAACACAACTCTACATCTGAACTGACTTCTGTTAGTTCAGTTAAAACACGTATGCAGAAGTTGGCAGAACAGCGACGCTGCTGGGATAATGGTATATGTTTAATGTTAAGACACAAAACTAAATAGATATATGATATATATGATAGAGATGACATATGATAGATATGATAACAATATCATATTGCTACCATTATGGAAACTTGGTGGGATGAAACCCACAAATGGAACATATAGCTAGAGTATGGGTCTCCAACCTTTCGGACCTCGGGGGCCACTGAATTCATAATTTTAAATCCTGTGGACCACTAATATGAATCCAGCGTGCCGCTTGTTGAAGCACCTGGACTCCCAGTGACAGGGTGGGGCACTTACCTTGGCCGCCTGTTTCTGTAACCTCAAAGAGCCATTTGGACCCATTTTCCACAGAAAACAAAATACCGGGATCTCTCAGTATCTCTCTCTCTCATCTCTTTCTCTCTCTTACCTCTCTCTCTCATATCTCAGTATCTCTCTTATCCTTCTCTCATCTCTTTCAGTATCTCATCTCTTTCACTCCTCTCTCTCTTTTATCTGTTTCACCTCTCATATCTCTCACCTCTCTTTTTCTTTCTTTCTCTCTCTCAGCCGGGCCAGCCAGTGTTTTGGGCCAAAAAGGAAGTCGCACATCTCCCAGTCACCCAGCACCAAAAAGGGCCAGAAGAAATGCCCACGAGACCCAGCAAGAGATATTTCCTGCTCTGAAATAGAGCAAATCTCCATCCTCTGCCCTTCCTTTCTCAGGCCAGGCGAGGAATGAGTGGGGGGGGAGAGTGCGGGCCGGGGCTAGCCAGTGTTGGATTCAGCCAACCAGAAGCTACAGTAGGGGGAAGTAAGAGCAGAGGGTTGCTGACAGCCATTGCTTTGGACTGCCTGCACTGCCACGCTCCCCCCTCTCTTGCCCCAACAGCACCATTACCTCATTCTGGCTGGCGAGGGCTGCACTACTCCTTGCATCTCCTGCAAAGTTGTAAGTTGCACGTGCCTCCCTCTACAGTGGAGATTTCCAGCCGCACCATGAGCTGCCTGGCTGGTCCCATAATCCAGAGCTCTACTCACAGGACTGGCCCATTGCTCATCCCAGAGCAGCTCCTCACCCGAGTAGGTCACAGACCACCAAAATTTTATCGCGGACCACCAGTTGGGGACCTCTTAGCTTAGTTAGAGAGGTTTACATTATTTAAAAGAAATAGACCAAATAAAAAAGGAGGTGGAGTTGCACTATATATAAGAAATAACTACATCTCTACAGAAATAGAGCACAACAATGATGAAAAATATCTTGAATGCATTTGGGTTAATATTAAAGGGAGGGAAATGACATTACCATAGATCTATACTATAGGCCACCCAACCAAACAGGAAATAGATAATTTTTTTGCTAGTCAGCTAACTAAGATATGTAGGAAGACATCGCAATGGTAATGGGGGATTTCAACTACCCTGACATCAACTGGGAGATAAACTGCACCAAGTGGAAGATCCAACAGGTTCCTAACAAGCCTAGCATACAACTTTGTTTCCCAAAAAGTAGAGAAGGGAACAAGGGGATCAGTCATATTGGACTTAATTCTCACTAATAGAGATGAAATGATAGAAGGTGTTGAAGCTACAGGAACCTGGGGAGCAAGTGATCATGCAATATTGGAATTCAACATTATGCAAGCACAAGTAATAGAACAAAGCCAAACTAGAGTCTTGGACTTTAAGAGAGTTAATTTCAATAAACTTAGAGCTTGGGAAGGTTTCCATGGTGAGAATCCTCAAGGGGAAAACAACTCAAGAAGCTTGTGAAATTTTGGGACTATTGGTTGCAGGATGGACTGAAAACCATGATCATGCGTGGTTTCAATCTCTGTTGTACCAGTTAGGGGGCTCCGAATGGGGCTAGAACCACCTTGGAGGGGTGGGGAAGAAGGGGGAGACTTCCTGTCGGGTTGAGGGGAGCCGCATCTCCCTTCCTTGACTAGGTAAACTCCCCCCGAAGACAGGCTGCAACAGTGGTTAAATATGGCCACCCTGAAGGAGAGTTATCTGGGACAAAGATCGTGCAGGAGCAGTGAAGAAGTGGACAGTGTGGAGACCAGGCAAATCAAGCGTAATATCTGAACATAAGATATCCCGGATTTAAAACTTTAAAAGAGACTTAAAAAAAAAAAAAGATTGGAAAAGCGGCGACCAAAGGGAGTGGGTGGGGGGAATTAGGACATAAGTGAAAATGCTTTGAACTGTAAAAGAATTAAATTGAAAGAGGAAGCTAGAAGAAAATATCTGTAAATTGGATTATACTAAATTACATAATTGGCACTAAATAGGCATACTTAAAAGCTGAATTTGAATGTGCCAAAAAGAAAAAATATACAATAATTGGATTTATTGCATTTTTCAAACTTAAAAGCCCTAAAAGGGAAAGGAAAGTGAAAAGAAAAGGTGGAGCTTGGACATAACAGAGAGCGTCACCTAATGGTAAAGGAAAATTTTCAGTTTGGTTCCCTAAAAACTGGAACTTGATACAAAGTAAGAGGAAACTTGAAACAATAATATAGAAACCCTGCAAAGTGAAATTACTATAAAGGAAGAAGAAAGAAGTCAACCCTGGGAATACTAGGGGAAATTTTAATACCTTGAGAAAAATTTAAAACTCAACAGAAGGAACTTAACAATAAAAACATATGAACATTTGACTATTTTGACCCTGGAAAATTGAAACAGGATTTAATACAAATGGATGGTTAGAAGCTGGTTTAAATTAACTACTGGACAACTGGACTGGACTTAAATACTGAAGAAAGGTAAAAGAAAAAAGAGGTGCACAAAAATGGCAGAATACTATTTGGAAATAAAATTGGACTTAAGAAGTATAAGGGAAACGATATGGAGAAAACTGGAATTGTGCAGTATTGCTTTACAAATGTTAGAAATGACATCATTGAACAAGGAGAACCAGAAGGGGAGGAGTTGATTGAAGAAGCCAGCCCCAATGAACAAATGACACAACGAACATTGAAACGGGGGAGGGGGGGAGCATGGAAATTAAGACTTGGAGGTCTGAGAGGACAATTAAAGAGGTAATTGTTCGGAAAGTCAAACAAAGAAAAAGGAAACAGCAGAAAAAGGAATTATGAGAGAAAGTTCAAAAGAGGGAGGGGGATAAAAACGAGTCAGAAATGGAGGGAAAAAGAAAAGAGGAATAAGGGAAAGGACCAGAAAAAAAGATATAGAAAGCAAAAAAGAAAAAAGAAAAGAAGCTACATGGCTAGAAGACCTAGAGATAATGGGTAGACAGAATAAGAAAGGGGATTCTACAAGGTGATACATACAAGACGTATAAAAATATAGATTGTAAAAATGGAATGATTGGAACTGATGGTTTTTTAAATTTTCTATTTGATTTTCTAAGAATCTTTGTTAAATTAACTGGAATACATGTAAAGATGGGATTATTATAAGAATGTCAATTACATTAAATGAAATTAAAATATAGTTAAAATGAACTATGAGAATTGTACTAAAAAGACAAATATCAGTTTCTACAATTAACTGAAAAAATTAATGTATTAGAAAAAATTAATGTCTTAGAATAAAGAAAAGAATACCATGTGGAATCTAACCTAAAATGTATATGTGATGTGTAGTATTTAGGTGACAACTAAAAATGATTATATTATGGTAATTTTTAATATGAGTTAAAGGGGAGTAAACTGAATGATGTATAAGACAAAAGGGTAGTGCACTGAAATGGGTAATTGAGGGGGAAATGTTTGGAATTATTAAAAATTATTTATTGAATAATGAAATGAGTATGTGATGAAATTGAAAATATGACAGATAAAAGTATAAAAGTACAATGAGTATAGATTAAGAAATAAGAATTTTAAGATATATGAAGAAGACGAGCATAATTAAAAACAATAAGATATGAACTAAAAATGGATAAAATAAATGTGAAAATATAAGAATATTTTTGAAAATTTATAGGAAATGGAAAATGTAACGATACGATAAGAAACTGAATATGTAGGATAGATATGTAATTATGGTCATGTTTGTATGGAAATGTAAAAACCTGGAATCACACCGTTCACCAAAATAGATGTTTGTAAAAGATAAAAATAAAAACCGTTTTGGGGACAAAAGAAGCTTGTGAAATTTTGAAAACAGAGATTATAAAAGCCCAGTCTAGCACAATACCAATGAAGAAGAAAAATAACAGCTCTCAAAAGAAACCAGCATAGTTGCATAAAGAACTCTGACAAATTGAAAGACAAAAAGGGCAAGTATAAAAACTGGAAAGAGGGGCAAACAACTAAGGCAGAATATCAGCAAATAGTCCCAGCCTGTAAAGATGAAGTGAGGAAAGCTAACGCTTACAATGAACAAAGACTTACAACAAAAGTAAAAAATAAAAAAGACTTCTTCCAACATGTTAAAAACAAAAAAAAGTCAAGGAAACAATTGGTCCATTGCTGGGAGAAAGTGGCAAAAAGGTGCCAAGCAACGGAGAAAGTAGAACTACTTGTTTTTTGCATTTGTCTTTACACAAAGGGAAAAAAACAATCCAACCTATCATAAACAGCAGATTAGGAGCACAAGTTAAAATAGGGAAGAAAATGGTAATTGAACACTTGTCTACCCTAGACGAGTTCAAATCACTAGGACCAGATGGATTACACCCAAGGTTCTGAAGGAACTGGCAGACGAGATCACAGAAACACTAAACTATATCTTTCAAAGATCCTGGAGCACCTGCGAACTGCCAGAGGACTGGAAAAGAGCTGATGTAGTTCCCATCTTCAAAAGGAGAAAAATAGATCCAGGAAACTACAGACCTATCAGCCTGACCTCAATACCAGGAAAGATTCTGGAAAAGATAAGCAATGAATCAGCGAACACCTAGAAGCAAACAAAGTAATACCCAAAAGCCAACATGGGTTTGTTAAAAATGGATCATGCCAAACTAATCTTATTGCATTCTTTGGTAAATTGACAAAATTAGTGGACCAGAGGAACGCTGTCAATATATACTTGGACTTCAGTAAGGCATTTGATAAAGTAGACCCTAACCTACTACTAGGTAAAGTAGAAGAATGTGGTTAGACAGCATCACCATCAGATGGATACGTAACTGGCTGACCAACTGCACTCAATGTGTACTCCTCAATAGAACTGCATCTATGTGGAGGGAAGTATGCAGTGGAGTACCCCAAGGCTCTGTTTTAGGCCCAGTACATGTTCATCAATGACTTGGACAAGGGGATAGATGAGGAACTCATCAAATTTGCAGACAACACCAAGTTGGCAGGAATAGCCAACAACCCAGAAGATAGGCTAAGATATAGAAGGAACTTGACAGAGTTGAACATTGGGTGCTATCTAACAAAATGAAAGTAGTGAAAAAAGTAAGGTTCTACATTTAGGCAAGAAAAATCAAATGCACAGGTACAGTATATGTGGTACCTTGCTCAATAGTAGTAACAGATCTCGGAGTCCTAGTGGACAACCATTTAAATATGAGCCAGCAGTGTGCAGCAGCTGCCAAAAAAGCCAACACAGTTCTAGGCTGCATAAATAGAGGGATAGAATCAAGATCACGTGAAGTGTTAATACCACTTTATAATGCCTTGATATACTTGCAATACTTTATAATGCTTTGATATACTTGCAATTCAGTTTTGGTTGCCACAATGTAAAAAAAATTCTGAGACTCTAGAAAGAATGAAGAGAAGAGCAACAAAGATGATTAGGGGACTGGAGGCTAAAACATGAACCGTTGCAGGAACTGGGTATGTCTAGTCTAATGAAAAGGACTAGAGGAGACATGATAGCAGTGTTCCAATATCTCGGGTTGCCACAAAGAAGAAAAAGCACCTAAGGGCAGGAAAAGAAGCAATGGGTGGAAATTAATCAAGGAGAGAAGCAACTTAGAACTAAGGAGAAATTTCCTGATACTTAGAACAATTAATCAGTGGGACAACTTGCTTCTAGAAGTTGTGAATGCTTCAACACTGGAAGTTTTTTTAAAAAAAATGTCTGAAGTGGTGTAGGATTTCCTGCTTAGGCAGGGGGTTAAAGATCTCCAAGGTCCCTTCCAACTCTGTTATTCTAAAACGAAACTAAAACTATGCAGTGATATGTGGGAGGAAATACTGTATGGAAAAGCAATGCATGAATTTTTTTAAAAAAAATATGTTTAGCTTGGCTACAAAGTACTGTCTTACAGAAGGGGGGAAAGTAATATGATTTGAAATAGGCATGATTGCAAATGTTTAGCAAGTCAGCCAACCTCAGTTAGAAAACCAGAGTTACATGTGTGGGCATAGGCAGCCTACATAGCATAGGCAGCCTACAAGCAAACAAAACGAGCAATATCTTCAGTAGCTGCAGTATGGCAAACGCACCTCCTTACATGGTATGGCAAGTGGTAGAAACACCCATTTTTGGCTATAGAATCCAACAATTCAAATTTGGCTCTAGAATAGGCAAGGTAAGGGATTGAGTCATTGTTTTTTAATGTGCTCTGCGCTTCCGGATTCATGATGGAAAGAAGACTCCAATGAGTTTTAATTACCTTTGTGAGGGATTTGGAGATAGAAACTGGTAGCAAGGAAGTACTCTCAGAAAGATCGTTCCACAAATTATAGATTTGTGTAATAGCTAAGGATAAATCTGTTTGAAATTTATTTCTACTATATTCATTTTAGAATACTCCAGGTGTCTTTATTAAGACTATGTTTTGAAGTATCAAGAGTTCTGTAACAGATATACTTTCTTTTGTCTGTTTTCTGGAGAGGGTAAGAAAGACAAGATAATTTCTACTCTCTTTTGGACTGTTTTTTTTTTTTTTTTTACAATTAATTGAAAAGAAGGATGCATCTAAGTGTATATACTCTTATTTCATAAAGTTTGACATCTCTTTACTATATTTTAAAATATTTATTATTTCAATTTTCAGATTTGCCTGAAAACATTTCCATAACACCTATCCTATCAAAGGAATGTGTCATCTCCCCACCCAAACAACTTAATGCAGTAACTGATGCACCAATAGGAAGAAGAGGCCGTCTAGCTAACCTTGCTGCTACAATTGGCTCCTGGGAAAATGATCTAAGCCATCCATCTGCAAAGCAAAACAATACACAAGAACAGCCTGGTACTACTTGTTTTTCCAAATTGTCCACTACAAGTGGAGCATCTGCTAGAATCAATAGTGGTAGTGTGAAGCAGGATGCTACATCCTGTCCACAAACGGCCGTGGATAAGTCAGCAATCTCTGGAATATTGGTAAGTTACCATATTTTAATATTGTATATTTCCCATATAGACTGCTCAAATGAAGGTAAACAATATTGGATTGTAATTCAAACCATGCTTAATAGGAAATAAGTTTTGTTTAAAATGTGAATTTATGAGAATCTTTTAATAAATGGTAAGTGCTTTACACTAAAATTGAAAGAAAATATTTTCATATACACCTGTTCACATTATACTATGGAAAAGAAAAGTCAGAGGGAAATAGTAAACTACTAATAGTTAAAAACTTTAGTTTTGGATTAATGCTTCCACAGAAGAATTCATTGCATCTGAAAACTTTTATAAACAATAAAGATGTTTAAAATAGTCATTTTAAACTAATATATTTCCCATTCGAACTATCTAGGAAGGAACTAATAGTTCTGTAGCAGAAGCCTCAGGAATTACTAAAAGCCATTCTAAAGAAACTGAGGTACCAAATCTAAAAGAAAAGGGCAATCTTTACCTAACACCAACATCTCAACACCAACATCCTACCAAAGAAGAGCAAATACAAGAAACACATATACAAGCTGACTACAAAGATAAGCCCAACACACCAGGTAAAAAAAAATGCTTCAATATTTAAAGTAGGCTTTTTTATAGCCTATAAAGTTTTTTTATAACTAAGTACTTGTGTGCAATGTATGTTTCTGTAAAGCATCTAATATATATCTGGTTAGTTAATAATCTGAGTGTTAGCATCTGTTTCCAGTCCATGTAATTTATCAGTATTTATCCTGTTATTTATAGAATTCTTAACACAATTTTTAAAATGGCTATTCAGCAATCCCATTTAGCACATAAAACCAAACACATGTTAAGCAAGGACTAAATTTCTTTTCAGGAAGTGGTTTGAAGTTAAATTTGATTGTGCTGATTAAAACAGCACAATGTACAAAAATGGCTTTAGCATATTCCCCTAAAAGGCAGTGCAAAATAATATCCCTGCACAATGATTATTTGTAATTTCAACATTAAATATACTTAATTCTACAAATCATACAAGCTAGATTTTGTAACATACACATTCTATATATTTAATATAATTTTAAAATCTTTGTATTGTCCGTAAGCCAATTTGCTATAGGTTAAGGTACCTAGGCAATTTTGGGTCAATCGCTTTCAGCCCAACCCACCCTTCAGAGATGTTTAGTGGGGAAAAGAACGACAAAGGAGTATTATGTACATTTGCCATCTTGAGTTACTTACAAAGTTATAAAGGCAAGATAAAAATCTAATAATCATATAATATTCAGAGGATGCGTGCTAGAGTGGCATAGCAGGAAGCTATGAAGTGAAGTTACAAGCAAGATAGTTGAGATAAAAACCACTTTTGTGGACATATTAGTATAACTCATCTTGAATCAAACCAAGCAAGCTAGTAATTTTTTAAAATTAGTTTTTGTTTATTCTCGGTCCATATGTTACATGATGCAGTATGATGCTGCTAATAGTCATTAACAATACTGATGTTTTATAAATGTGATTGGGCTTCTGTTTAAGAAGTTTATATTTTTGAGGTTTTCAACAAAGTAAATGGATATTTATTAAATGATTTGCTTAATAATCATGCAAAAAATATAAAAATCAGGTACAACATAATGATCACCTTACTTAGTGATGAAAGTTCCAGCCCCTATCACTGCCTGGAAGATTAGCTGTCTTTGCATTTCAAGTTTTAAAACAGATTTTATAGTAGTTTTTGATTTAGTAACCAAGCATTTAGTACTGAATGAAACTAGTTCGATTAAACTACATGTGGAATAGCTGGAAAACATTTGTACATAGATGTTTATAAATATGATCTATTCAGAAGACCATGGAGTTTAATGAAGGATTTGCACACATTGGTCGCAGTTTCCAGTGTTTTTATGTATAAAAACAAACGCTTTGGCACAGAATTAGGTTGCAAAGTATGCATTATGTACATATAATCTTTATGTGTTTAGTGATATCTTAGTTAAGTCTTTATAGTTTATATATTCATTTATGGCTTCCTTCTTGGTGATAAAGAATCTTGTTACAAAGTAATATCCATTATTATTATAGGAGGTTCAAACATTAAACTTTTTCTGGAACATTTTGGGGAGTGTTGCCAGGACTATACTGCGCAAAATCCTGCAATTGCAGGAGGGTACAGAACTCCAATTATCACTCCAAACACAAAGACAATCCAAGAAAAACTCTTCAGGCAGAATGAAGCATCTTCAGCTTCCAGTCTAGCACAGCAGCTCAAACAAGTATGTACCTAAAATAACTGTATGTGAGATCAGGTGTATTGATCAGTCTTTGATTCCAGATACCTACTGCAAAAATGTTCACATTACATTTATTTTTTCTTTGATTTATTCAGGAACGTGAAAGAGAACTTAAATGTATACGAGGTCGCTCCGACTGGACCAATTTGTGGAGTGCTGAAAAAGGAGACCAGCCCAAGAAAAAGCCTCCAGAGATAAAATTAGTATGATAATAAAATCTATTTTAAGAAAAGCACAATAACATTTTCTCTGGAAAAAAGATATTAATAAAGAATTTTTATTAGCCTCCAGTGCCAGTTTTCATATACCTTTTATATGGCACCATATGTGAGTGTGTGTGAGAGATTGCACAAATATGTTCAATAAAGGATGGCTTTTATTTTATTATGCATATACTACATGCATTTCAGCTCCTTAATGTGGCTAAATATGACATTTCCTCCCCCCCCTCCCCAGGAGAAACATATGAATGCTGATCTAAAGCTCTTCCCGTGTACAGATGCCAGTTCCCAGTTAGTAGAAAAAAGGTTCAGAACATTTAAAAGAGTTGCGGAAAGCACATATTCAGGTGAGAATTACCTTAAAACTGCAGGTCAAAACATGCAAAATTGTTTATTTAAGTGATGCTTTGGAAAATGTTTACATAAAACTGAGTTTATATTTCTAGTCATCTATATTTAGATATTTTTTTGTTTATATGTGAGAAGGTAGAATATTTGGCAAGGCCACTGATAATATGTGTTGTCGAGATATTTTCTATAGATCAATAAATACCAGTACTAGGTAGCTCATGGAAAGAATTATTAAAAAATTAAAATATCCTAAGGGAAATAATCAAAACCATGAAAAAGCAAAAATTAGAATATTTTGGACATGTGATGCGACACCCAGAAAAGTACAGCATACCTCACTTAATTCTCCAAGGAACGATTGAAGGCAAATGAGGTCCAGGCAGAAAAAGAGCACCATGGCTTCAGAACCTAAGAGATTGGTTTGGACAAATCTCAACAGCACTTTTTTGTGCAACTATTGATAAAAATAGGATCGTCAACATGATCGCCAACGTCTGATGACAGATATGGCACAAGAAGAAGTTGTTAATCAGATCAAATCAGTTTATTGCAGTCCTAAGGCCAGAAATAGTAAAATATCTAATATATAACTGTTACATATTTTCATATATATAAAATAGAAAAACAATAAGTATAATAGGATCTAAAATAATTAAGAACAGATAAAAAAAGAACAGATAAAAGTGTTATTGTAGGAAGTTCCAAACATAATTACAGATAGTCCTCAACTTACAACTACAACTGAGCCCAAAATCTATATTAAGTCATTGTAAAGCAAGTTTTGACCATTTTATGACCTTTCTTGCCACAGTTATTAAATGAATCACTGAAGATAGTAACATGATTGTTAGATGAATCAGGCTTCCCTATTGACTTTTCTTGTCAGAAAGTCACAAAAAGTGACCATATGTCCTGACACTGCAGCCAAATACGTGCCAGTTGTCAAGAATCTAAATTTTGATCATGTGACCATGGGGATTCTGCAATGGTCATAAGGGTGAAAAATGGTCATAAGTCATCTTTTTCAGTGCTGTTGTAACTTCAAATGGTCATTAAATGAATTGTACATCAAAGACTATCTAATGGTACAGCAGGATATTGAATAGGTGATGTACTAGATTAACTTGAAATTTCTGAGTCCTTGTCTCAAAGAAATAGTATTAAGTAGAAACCATACTCCCCACCTGGAAATTCCTTCAATATCTGATAAATGAGGCTCTATTTAGAATCCTTATAGAGAGCAGTATAGTAGAATATGGCAGCGTTTCTATTGAGCTATCACAATGTGGACATAACCAAAAATACGTAGGAATATCTAAAATGTAAACAAGACTGTTGAGGATAATACATCTAACTTGTTTAAACTGAAGGCCTTATTTCAGATTTATACTGGATGATAAATAAGATGCTAGAATGAACTCTTGGAAGACACTGGTAACTACTGGGATGTGTGATCTTCCTTAATTAAATTTGTTTGGAAATCTGTATCCCAAAATCATTGTTTGAGGGCAGTTTTAGCATTATCAAAACCTAATGAGTACAAACCTTCCATAGAAAATCTCATTACAGTTGGTTCTTGACTTATGATCACAATTAAGCCCAAAAGTTCCATGGCTAAGGAAAACATCTATTAAATGAGCAGTGCCCCATTTTACTATCTTTTTTGTCACAGTTAAATTAATCATTGCAATTGTTAAGTGAAAAATCAATTGTTATCGGAATCTGGGTTCTTCCATTGACTTTGATTGTCGGAAACCAGCTGGGGGTATTATAAAAAGTGATTACATGACTCCAAGTCAGTTCAACTGTCATGAATACATGCCAGTTGCTAAGCAGCTGAAATTTGATCATGTGAACATCGGGATGCTGCAATGGTTCTAAGTGAAAACAGGTCATAAATCACTTTTCAGTGCCATTATAACTTCAAACAGTCACTAAGCAAATGGTTGTAAGTCGAGGACTACCTGTAAATACATTTTATCTAGACTATAAAGTTTTTTAAAGCCATGATGATTTAAATCTCTAAGTACAAATGGGGCCAAACCTATAGGAAGTAAAATTAACTTTAGCCAAAAGATAGCAAGAAATCATACTCTAAAATCCAATATTAAGCCTGTCTCTATGCAAAAGATGACTTTTTTTTTTTTTTGATATTTTTGAAGTCTTCGGTATCATTAGTATCAACTCTGTTGAATAATTTTAAGAACATTAAGCTCTGTAGAGGGCAAATTTGGAAGCCATAGAGAATGTTGAAGGACGATCTTATTTGGAAAACATGGCTTCTTTTAAATGATAAAATCTTGAATATTCCAGGATAGAGAAGCATGGAACAGCATTTGAAGATATTTATAGATAAGTACATGCTCAGTTTGAGTAGCATTTATTTGCAATTTGTGAATTTTATGATAGCATTAGGCAAACACTAAATAATAATTTATTGATAGCTTTTCTACATAGAATAAAGCTAGTGTTCTAAGTGCTTTTCTCATTCTCACCTGTGAAATAGACACAATACATTGTCATGCTAGAATCGCACGATTAATTAAAATAGGCATGTGACTGGCTGAAATAGCAAGTACTTGGATTGTTAGATTTAAATACAGATTAAAAAGTAGTGAAGCTGTGAGTTGTTCCATGTTCCTGAGGTTGATAGTTTTCTTGGAAATGTTTCTTTACTAAATTAGGTAACATCAGTGCTGATAATGTTATCTAATTTGGTAATTAAATGTCTGCAAGAAAACCTCCAAGCACCAAGGACTCAACCTTGAGTTTCAAATATTCTCTTTTCTAAGTAGTGAAATTAATATGCCACCTTGTTTTATATATCTATAAAATTGGAACAGTTTTAGATAAATGTCCTCAAGGAGTACATTTAATTTTCAGGAGCATTTGAATAAAGTGACCGGAATATTAGGAACAGTGCTTTATCAATAATAAACTATCTTGACACACACTCCCTTGGTATTATGTGAAGTTGACTTAAAATCAATAAAAGTTGCAAAAATAACTTCAAGGGATTGCAGAATATTTTCTTCCAGATTATGAAGTACCAAACAGTGATTCCCTTTAAATCCAGCTTATTCTTCAATTATATTTCCATTTTGTACTCAAACCACTAATTTTAGATATAAAAATATGGCATAAAGTTTACTTAGTGTGATTAATAAATTAATATGCCTATTATTTTTAGGGTCAAGTCTATTTCCTTTATTTTTGTAATGGAAATTGGCTTGTGAATACACCCGTTATTCTGGTAAATAAAATGGCCAGAACTGGGCCCCACCAATCTTTGTTTTTTCTTATTAATTCTGGAGAGGTAAAATCACAATTGTGCCATAAAATCTTTAACCTCAGTCATTATGAAAGGGAATCGCATCTGAAATTAACAGTTGTTACAGAAGTGATCCATTTATATTTGTGGGATAAAGCTAAAATTATCAAGCTATAAGGTACCAACTGACTGAAAAACAAGTGATAACTGCACTTTTAACTTTACTATTTTGGTAAAAAAAATCAGAATAGGTTTCCCTGACATTTTCAGATATATAATATTTTTAATACTAAAATAGGTGACATATACTTTGGATGTTTGGTTATTTTTTACTTGCTTGTGCTTATACTTAAAAATGTTTACATTTTTTGTTTGGTTTGGATGTTTTCCAAATTATTCAACAGTACATGTCTTAACTTCTTACTCACATTCTCCCAAAGTAAATATTGCCAGATTAAAAAAGAAGATAATGCTGCCAGATGGTTTCCCTTCCAAATTTCTGCTAACATTGCTTATGATAAATTGAAAATAAATAAGAGTATTTTTAAAAAATAATTATTTCAGAAGTTTTATCTGTTTTTTAAAAATAGCTAGTTATTTTTTCTGAATGGCTTTTTTTTGGAAAATTTTAGATCCTTCAGAAAACGAAAAGGCAGAAGAACTCAATCCTCTGAAAGTTTGTTCACCAAAGACTCCTGTAAAACCAGCTTCTAACACAAAACTTGAACAAATTCCTAATAGACAGAATGGTTTGTGTTTCCTAATTTTCTGTCCTGAATTGGTTGTATTACATAATCTTTCTAGTTCAGAAAACGTAGAAAATGAAAACGACTTGTATCAGTTACTGGTAAAATAAAAGAAATTTCTGGATAACTATAACCAAAAGATATGAAATTCTATTTAGTATTTTTTTTTAAATTCACTTCACATCCAAACTGATGCTGTGGTAAAGAATAATATGGAAGTGAAAAATGCTGGTAATAAATTCAAACTAGCTAATTAACACATTATTTTGCGGTTAAGGGCAGTTGCTAGATGGTTCCAATTATAAATTATTTGTTTTGATAAATTTTGCTATGTGAATCTAGCCATTTCATCTTAATTTAAAAACTTTAGTCTTGTTTTTAAGTGAACAGAAATTTGTTTAAGGAAAATCGAGTTTTTAAAATAATATTTGGACATGAACATTAATAAGACTACATTGTTAGGGGAAAGAAAAAACAATGAACTGCAAGCAGATTGCTAAAACTTGACACTTTTACCCTATGGGTGGAAATAATTATTTGTGATATTAAGGAAGCATGTCTAAAAGAATCCATAATCATGGATGGATATCTATGCCTTATTCAGCATATAATGTTTAAAGTTTTTATTTGGTTCAATTTAATTCAATTTAAAAGCACACTTTCAAAACAATGTGCAAATCAGTAACAGCATGGCTCACTACTAGTAACAATTGCCTTTTTGTGGGCACTAATAACCACTTTTCCTCATATCTCTGTTGAAAGATGCCATTTTACATTAAATTCATTTCAAAAATTACTTTCCTTTTGGGATAATATGACCAAAACTATCCATGACAGTGCTTATTAGTTTGCACATCCTTTTGAAGATGCAATTTTTAATTAATTTTTTTTAGTTTTAATTTTCACACTCTTAGGTTATTTTGACATTGTTAACCACTTTGACTACCTTTTTTCCCCTTGCAATTCCTAATCTTAAGAATTTAAGCTGAACCTACAAGGATGGACCTGTGATTTAAATGATATGGATTTACATGTTTTTATTCCCATAATAAAGTTACATCTTTAGTGCAAAAATAAAAACATTATGCACTTTTTTGTCATTCTTTATGTGTTTGATTTAAATTGTCTTTTTAAAATTTATATTTTATTGCTTTTTAATTAATAAAAAGAAAAAAAACATACAGATAATTATAAAGGGTGTGTGTATGTGTGTGTGTATTGTCAAAACGAAAATTCAATGGATTTAAGACCTGATTATACTTCCATTTATGAGTGGATTATAGAAATAGACTTTATATGGATAAGTGTAATGAAATATGGGACTCATTTATACAGAACACAGTAGGTTAAAGGAACAGTCATGTAAGTGTTTTTATATGTAGAGGGAGAGAAAATATAACACACACACACATGAATATTATTTTCATTATACAACTATATGTAGAATTGCAACATGTTGTTATAATGGCTTTTTTCTTTGTCATATTTTTTTCATTTTGTTGTTAGAGCACTTTATATTCACTTTTCCCCCCTTCTCATTGACAAAGTATGAATTTCCATCATTATTTGATGTTAAAACCTCTTGATCTCATTGTCCAGGTAAAGAAGAGGAAACTGAAAGAAATGATGAGATGAATACCACAAAGGTAATAAGTGACATCTTTGATGAAGTCCTTCATGAAGATGGGCTTGACATAGAGAAACTTAAAAAAGAAATGAGCATAACTTTAGAAACTGAGAGTGATGATGAACAAGAAGAGACACTGAATATTTCATCGATGTCTCTCTTAACACCTTTAACCGAGGCTGTTGCTGTTGCAAGTCCAGAGGTAAGAGCAAATTCTAAATATATTGATATTACTTATATACACCTAACAGGGCTGGATAAGTTTTCAAGAATTTGAGGAAATATATCAAATTCTTAAATGTTTCCAGGCGGATATTCCCTACATTAAGAGTCCAGCTTTTACAAAAAAAAAGTCTTAATGTTGCTTCAAAATATAATTGCTTTTAGAATGATCAAACATGTATGTTTCCCTCTTTCAGATTTTTGCTTCTCCTAGTAAGTCAATTGTTGAAGGAAGTACTGCAAGTGATGAGAGTCCAAAGTCCATCAGATTCCAGAGAATGTCTGTCTGCAGAACTGAATCTGGAAGTAGCATTGGGTCTTTATCAGAAGAACGTAACCTCTATAGGTAGTTTCTATTTAGAAGGTCTAGTAGAACCATGGCTCATTTGCAGTAATGGTGGTAAAATTAGCCAAAGGAACTAAAGGAGATTTATTTATAGCCCAGCCTAATCAAAACTTATTCTTGAATAAATGAATATGAGAGGTAAGGGCAGCACTCTGCTTCCTGAAGTCATGGAAGAAACATGAGTATGTAGAGAAACTTAAATCTATCAAACTTTTAGGATCTTATACAAAACAATCTATTATCACAAGCACAAAATATTCTAATTATGGTTGAAAAACACTGTTCTCTGCTCTTGTAATATTAGTTGACCACTTTTGCAGTGATATCTATCCTTGTTTATCAAGGAATGGAATAGAATAAGTCAAATACACTTACTGCATTTTCCTAAAACTGCATTTTTTTCTCTTTGAAGTATTGATACCTATCGATCCCAGAGATTTAAAGAAACTGATCGTCCATCAGTGAAACAAGTAATTGTTCGTAAAGAAGATATATCTTCCAGGCTTGAGGGGAAGAGAAATGGAAATGATCAAATTAACATTAAACAGAAGTTACAGGTAATTAAAATCCCACTTTCCAATTAATATGAGAAGAAAATATATATGAAACTTTTAAATTGTGTTCCTAAATTATTGTTAAATGATGTAGGCTGATGGTGTGGTTTTGTGTCTGCATTTGATGAACATGAACATCTCTTGTAGGGTGAGCATTTTTTGAAAGCTAGGAATCATCGTTAGCTATCTGAGGGTTATGACCAGTTATGGCAAGATACCACTAGAATGCCGAGATGAGAAGTTTTGTCTTCAATTATGGGGATCTAAAGAGCAAACTAGAAGCTTAAAGTTCCCGTTTTCCCTGTTAACTATTGCTGTAACTCAACTTCATTATGAGATGAAGTGGTTAATTTAAGCTGTTTTTGATCCTTATCTACCTCCAAAAAAGGTTATTTATTTGATATTCTCCCTCCCTCCCTCCCTCTCTCTTTCTCTTTCCCTTCTCCGTTCTCCCTCCCCCCTCCTCCCCTCTGAAGGAATATAGGTACAAAGTATAGTGCAGTACAATAATGTGTACTATACTATATCTGTGTGTAAGTATTCAGTTCAAGATTTCTCAGTATATATCACAAAACTTTTTTGTTAGGGTAACTACTATCTAATTCCACTACATTTAGGAGCTGAATAATGAAATTAATATGCAACAAACAGTCATACATCAAACAAGCCAGGCTCTTAATTGCTGCATTGATGAGGACCATGGGAGAGGATCACAAGAAGAAGCAGAAGCTGAGAGGCTACTTCTTATTGCAAGTATGGTGCTTAGCTTATTTATCACTGGATTTGCAGAAACTATTATTTAGGATGCTGTATATTTTATAATCAATCTGATTATTTTAAGTACCCTTATTATATTTATGGAATAATTACTTTCCAGCTTTTGGGAAATAAATTAATTCAAACACCATTTTGTACTCAAAATAATTCCAAGCAGAGAATTTTGAAATATGGAAAACAGCCCATTTTTCTCTTGAAACATGTTCACCATCAAAATAGTTTAAATGAAAATTTAGTTTTGATCTGTTAAGGAACTTAAAATGGACATTTTTTGGTAAGTAGTTATTATTTAATGAAGATAATTGTTATTTTTCAAGCTGAAAAAAGAGCAGCATTATTGGAAGAGTTAAACAAGCTGAAAAATAAACGACCTCAGAATAAGAAGATAAAAGCTGATTCTACAATTTCTAGAGTTTCACCATCCAAAGGATCTGTCACTCTGTCAGAAATGCGACTACCTTTAAAAGCAGACTTTATATGCAATATCCAGAAAGCAGGTAACATTCTTATATTTTTATGGTAATTATTTTGGTATAGTAAGATTTGGTACTATCACTAAACACTATGAGGCAGCTCACTTGAGACAGCAATTAATAACAGTCTTTTAAAACAAAAGCAAATTGGGAATAATTTATTCTCCAGTTTTATATTCAGGGTGAGAAGAAACTCTTGTAAAATTTTCTGCCCTAGCTATATTGGTTCTGTTTCATTGATTTGGGTTTAGGTTAGCCCTTCTGTAAGGATGAGATAAGTGCAGCTGTTCTGAAATTACCTACTAGTAAGTAAGGGTGTGCCCAAAAAAGAAAGAATTGTGTTTTTTGAACAAAAAATAATTGATCACTTTCAAAAAGTTATGTCAAATTGATATAAATTCAGTTTTAAACTGAATGCAATTTATCAAAAATTTGGAAAGCTCCTTGAGAACTTACTTTAAAAATATTTGCAGTTTACTTATATTATTTCTGGAGTACATGACTTTGTGGTTTATCTTGGCTCAGTTCTGAATCAAAGATTCCTTAATTGGGTAAAATGAGGCATCTTCCTAGAAAAAAAAAGGTATATAAGCTGGAATATAAAACTTTATATTTTATTATAATCTTGTTTAAACTACTTTTTGTTAACTTGCCTTTATTTTTACTTTCGAATTTGTGTATTGTTTTTATTTTGAGGTGTTTTGAGTGTTCTTTCCAAGTAGAAACATGGCATCTAAATCTAGTAAATAAATAAACCATTTATTTACAGATACAGCAAATTACTACTATATAATCATGCTAAAATCAGGTGCAGAAAACATGGTTGCGACACCTTTAGCAAGTACTGCTAATTCTCTGTGTGGAGATGCTCTTTCTTTTTCAACAACATTTACATTGTAAGTATTATTTCAGTATTTGTGTTTATATCAGTACTACTGTGTTTCACCGAAAAGAAGGCTTGGTCTTACTTTCTTTTGGGCTCAAAAATAAGGACTAGGCTTTATTTTTGGGGATGTCTTATTTTTTTCCCCTATAGGAGGTGGCGAGTATGGGGGCTGACAGGAGTGGGAGCACTGCTACCACCAGCTCTGTCCCAATATCTACTTGCCTGCGGCTGCAATAAACCAAGCTCTCAGTGAGCCCTGGCCTACACCCTCCCTGCCTGCTAGCGCTGCTACTGGGACACTGGAGCTTGGGTCTTGCTCAGACTGCTGCTATGATTTGGCAGAAGGCAGTGCAGCGCATCAGGATTGTCTCCTCCCGCGCCTTTGCTCGGCTGCTGAGCCTGCTGCTCCTGCTGCTGCTGGCCTCACGGATCTCTTCCCCTCCTGGCTGCACTGCTCTCAGTAACCCTGCTGGGCTGCTCCTGCCTGGCACGAGGAAACTTTTGGGGTGCAAAGGAAGAAGGAGCTATCTTCCCTCCCTCCATCTATCCTGCTGTAGGGCTGCCATGGGGCTCCTGCCCACTAAAGCAGCAACTCTCCCAACCCATTTTACACCAGCGTGTAGATATGCAATGAGACCGAATGGATGTGCTTTGTAGCTTCGGCAGGCAGGCACTCCATGAGAACCCTGCAGTGGGAAAGACGGAGGAGGGAGGAGAGATCGCTACTTCCTCCTTTGTGCCCCAAGAGTTGTCCTGCAAAAGGTAGTACCAGATGGATGGAGGGTACCATCCCATTGCAGAGCCATCATGGAGCTCCTGCCCACAGAAGCTGCAGGGCAGCCGAGAGCAGCACAGCAGGAGGGCGAAGAGCCCTTGCAAGGCCAGTAGGTGCAGCCAGGCAGGGGGAGCAGGTGATTCCAGTGCACAACACGGCTTTCTGCCTAGTGCAGCTTGTACAAGATTGAACTCCAGGCCTGACAGAGCGTAAACCGTGGACACTGCCTGCTCCAGAGCCACAAGATATGAGCTGCAGAAGACAGGGGCCCTCAGCTGCGAGGTTGCCTGGCATTTGGACAGGTCTGGGGTTGGCGAGAGTGTGCTGGAAATGCCTCCAGGTACTTGGAGAGATGCTCAGCTGATCCATGGGGCTGCAATTAAGGAGCCAAACCTCCATGAGGTGACTGGGGAAAAGAAGGAGCTTCCATGCCTCAGGGATCACTGCCTGTGTTTGTGAGGGGACATGCAGTTGGGCTGCCTCCTGTGCTCACCATGCCTAACCCTTTTACTAGGGCTTATTTTTGGGGAAACATGGTAGTAGGCTTCTTAGAAGTATTTAGTATGTTTCCTCTTCTTTTGAAGACAGTATTTATGGAATCTACATTTTCTTTACCTTTTGTTTCCTGACTTAATTTTCTTTCAAATTTTTTAAAGGAGTTACAACTAAGTACCGTATATACTCGAGTATAAGTCGACCCGAATATAAGCCGAGGCACCTAATTTTACACAAAAAACTGGGAAAACTTATTGACTCGAGTATAAGCCGAGGGTGGGAAATGCAGCAGCTACTGGTAAATTTCAAAAATAAAAATAATTAATTTGGGACACGATCTCACTATCATGAAAGGTTTAATTGATTCACTAACCCAAAAGAAGAAGATGATGATGATGACAGCGGGAGGCAGGAGTCACTCTCTTCCCCTCCCTCGGAGGCCCCCTGAGTCAGGAGTCACTACCGCCGGCGCGGCCCCAGTCCCGCCGCCTCGGGAAGGGAAAGGCAAAGCGCTTTTTGCCTTTCCCTTCCCGGCTGGGGCTGTTGGGAGTCGCTGCCGCCGGAGGCCGCGACTCCACACCATTTTTTTTTCAGAGGGGAATCTGACTCGAGTATAAGCCGAGGGGGATTTTTTCAGCACAAAAAATGGGCTGAAAAACTAGGCTTATACTCGAGTATATACAGTATTTGCTTTTGCTTGGCTCAGGTCACATATTCCCTTCACACCTAGCAACATATCTATTTTTTCCTTTTTAGCAGGTTTCCTCTCTGAAGTAAGCAAGCAATATGCTCTTATTTTGTTTTCACCTCCTTATCTATCTGTTCCACTGAATGATTTCAGTAAGGAAAAAAGATTTCCCCCACAAATCTCATGACAAACATACTGAATCCTATAGTGTTTTCTGTAAATCCCAAAGCAACTAATTCCACAGGTGTATTTAGTGCAGTGAAATAGGGAAGCTGACCTAGTTGTGGAACCCATTCATACTGCTATGATGTACAGAGCACTTTTATTGCTCTTTATTTTATTTAACTGAAATTTTCAAAGTGAAAAAGAAGTATCATTACTTCTGAGGAATTAAATGCATGACTTATATTAACCACTAGATGGCATATTAAGAATAGCTCTTTTTCATAGGAAGCCTTGAAAAATTGGCTAAGATATCAGGAAAACTGGCCATTCTTTTAATTTTTTAAATTTTGCATTTAAATTCTATGGATTTTTTTCCCTTGTTCATTGTTGATAACATTAAATGAAATGCCCTTCTTTTTAAAAAGGCTGTGACCCCTAAGATGAAAACCATTTCTGTAAATGGTTTTGTTTTATCATTTTATCATTCATCTTCTTTTCTTTATAGAGTACAAGATAGCAATTACAACACTTCTGAATAGAATATGGATTTTATTTAATTGTCAAATTTATAGGCTTTCCTAGAAATTTCTAGACTTTATTGAAATTTTTCCTTTCAATTCCAAAATGTCTCTATACAGATTCACAAAATTAAAAAGACAATAATATAGCAACATCCCATGCCATATTGAGTTTTATAAGTGACATTGCACCTGAAAGTCAACTGTAACCATTTTAGCTTACATGTAGTAAGGTATCACTACTTATATTGCTATTTTTGGATCAATTGTAGCTTCTTATGTGTTTCTAGACTGATTGTGATATTTCATACACAAGCCAACCAATTTATCAGTAACTTTGAGAAAAGCCTTATGATCCAGAAATGAATGCAACAAGTGTACAAGTTAAATCTATACAGAGTATTTCCTAATCACAGTTGCTACCTGCTTCTTGAAGAGCAGAGTCTAACAAGACAACCGTATTGTCCAAGTACTCTTTGCCACTTGGTCGTGCCAAAGTTGAGTCTGAGCCCCTTGCTCCCCATATATACTTCATTGGTCTCTATGCACTAGGACAAACTTTGAAAAGATTGTTGAGAGGTTGAGATATGCAATTGAATATAATGAATATATTGATCATTCCAGATCCCTAACTGACAGACGACCTACTGTAGTGGTCTTAAACAGGAAAGGTGAGAGGGTTTAGCCCTGAAGTACTTTACAAATTAAGGATTTAGTGACCTCTCTCCCATCCTCAAATAGCAAACCGAACCAGCCAGGAGTTAAAAGAAAGGAGAAGAACCACTGTAACATTGTGCCCTCCCCCCTATTTCCATAGTCCAAAATATTAACATTGTTTATAATATCAACCTGCCATTGAGATATTTATGGTCGGGGGTCCTTAGTATTCTTGCAGACATTTCATTACAAAACTAAGTAAAATCATCACATAGAGCAGCCTTCAAAAACCTAAAGAAGAACCAACCATCATGCTATCCACAGACAAATTATGATTATGATGGACAGATTACAATATATACAATCACAGTGAACACCAATCCAGTATAAAAACTAGATGACTAGTTTGTGAAGAGACCTCAGACCTCACCAAGAAAGATGAAACATGAAGGAGACCATACATGGATCAAAAGTAGTGCACTCATCTTCACACAGCTTCTTTGGACACTCTGAAACACACCAGACATACATCTTTGTCCAATTTTATCACATCACTAAAGAACTGACAAAAATATTGGACAACTCAGGGAAGCAAATACTCCATCAACTCCCCACTACAGTGCTTCTAAAGAATCAAAAACCTAAATGCATGAAGATGAAGTATTGATTTTGTTTGATGACATAGCACTTTTTATTTGCATAAACCCAGAATACACAGCACATCTGACCTAACCTAATACACCAAGAATGAAAGAACCAGAAGTATGGACTTAACAATCTTTGCCTAACACAGGGGTCTCCAGGCCTTGAGCTATTTGGAACAGTCTGCAGAAGTAGGCAAGCATGCATGTGCATCTTCATTTGCGTGAACACTGGATCAGCATGTTTGTGCTCCATTTGTGAAAGTAGTGGGCACATATGCCCATCACTCAGGCAAATAGAGATGTGCACTTGCCTGCCACTCATGCAGAATCATTCCCTCTCCCCTACACACCAGTCCGTAAAGATGATAATGTTAGAGAACTCTGGCCTAACAGATACTTTCAGTTTGACATACAAATTTGTTAACAAATCAAAGGGACATACATGAAATCACTGCTTTCAGAACTAATAGCAGATATCATAATGCAATGCCTGGAATATATAGCATTTCCTTGCATATAGCCCAAATAATGGATCAGATACAAAGATATCTTTGTCATAATAAAAAAGGACCAACTAAAGAATATATGCAAAACATTAACATTCAAAAGAAACATTCACAAGGGAAGAAAAAAAATGCTACCCTTTCTTGATATCCTCATCAGTAAAGCCAGTGATGACAAATTAGAAACACAAGTCTATCATAAACTGTCCATACCAATCAAATGTTCCTTTAACAAAATAACAAACCAACCTTGCAAAGATAGTATTCTGCAACATTGCATAATACTATTTAGACAAGCACAAGCACTGCAACAACCCTGAACATCAGAAAAAAATAGATCATCTATGCAACACTCTTAAACAATGGATATCCATGCAACTTCAAAAAATGCATGATCACTGAGTTCAATATAACACAACCAATACAAGCTGTGAAAAGTATGAAATTGTTATACATAAAAAACTTATAAGAGACTGTCAACAAGCTTACATATACATGGCATCACTGTAGCACACAAACCAACTCCAAAACATCCTAAGTAAGCCAAACCAGCAGCCCTAGAAGAAAAAACAGTTGTCTACAACATGATGTAAGGACTGTAACAGCTCTGTGCAAGATAAACAAGCAAATGATTAGCAAAGCTCATCCATGACACCAACTAGCTGTCAGAAAATAAGATGAAAACTGAATTTCACAACTCAGACTTAATCATGGTTTTAACTAGGAAATGGTGAGAATTCTAGATCAAACCAAGCCCTAAACACTCGGAATTCCTAGAAGCCTGGCACATAGATTAATTGGTCATAAATAGAAAAATAGAGATAAACAACATCTACATAAAAGAGACAACCAAAAAGGAAATAAAAAGACCAAAACAACTCCTTTGCATCTCAATGAGCCAAGATAACATTAGAACAACACTCAAGAACCAGTCAATTAAATACATTAAATAATCTCTTTTTCCTATAGCCCATCTCTTAATTATAAGCCTTGTCATGATCAGCAGATGTCCATTAAGGGTTACCAGAGATAATCCTTTATTCTTGAGAAGGCAATTAACTACAGTCAATTTAATTTTAGCCTTGCAACTTTGTGTGTGCCCTGCTACTCTTCTCAAATTGTTTGAATTGCTTGCAGTAGAAAATATTGTTTCCCTTATTTTTTCTTGTTTGACTGATAGCAGTTCTCTTCATTTCCAGTAAATAGGAAATTGTAGCTCCATTTCTTACTTTCATCAAAGCATATTATTAATGGCTATCCTTATTAATTTTGTCTCCTATTTTTAAAGGCAAAATGTGTCCAGTGACTTTGAGATAAACATTGAAGTGTATAATTTGGTATGTATTGTTACTTTTCAATATGCTTCTTTTGAAAGAATATTTAGCTGATCACTGACTATAATATTTATCTTTTTTTTTTTGGTTAGATACAGAAAAAAGAGTTCATTGGTGTCGATAAGAAGAAAAAATCAACTAAGTCAAAGGTAAAGACTATAGTTCCGATTCCTCAATTTTTTACAACTGTTGTGGGCCAGTTGTAAAAGTGAAAAGAAGAAAAATATTTGTTTCAGGCCAGTAGACACATTGTTTTGACTAAAATGTTCTTCCCTAAGTTTCTTAATACTAAGTTCTATTTTATCACTCAATAGATATTAGATTGATAAAATAAAATGGTGCAGCAGTTTTATTGCAATTCCAGATCAAAAACAAAAATATTACAAACGTATAGCATACAACATAATACACATAAAAGATACCAAGTGGATGTTCTTTCAAAATATTTGACTAATAAAAAATAAATTTGCAATTCCAATTTCTATAACCATAAAAAAATTGATTCAACAATATTTTTCTTACATAGGCACAATCACTTTTTCATAGTTATGACCTTTACAGCATCCCTATGGTCATGTGATCAAAATTCAGATGTTTGGCAATTGGTTCACATTTATGCCATTTGCCTTGTCCCAGGGTCATGTAATCACTTTTTGTGATCTTCTGACAAGCAAAGTTAATGGGAAAGCCAGATTCACTTAATACCCAGGTTACTAACTTAACAACTGCAGTTATTCACTAGAAGTAATGTTGTAAAATAGGGCAAAACTCATTTAACAAATGTCTCATTTAGCAACATAAATTTTGGGCTCTTATTGTGGTTGTAAGTTGAGGAGTACTTGTATACGATTGTAAACATACTTACAGACAATATGTCAATCCAAAATTGCAGGTTATATAAATAATAGTTCCAGATATCTTCCAAAAATATAAATTTGGAGAAACTGCATTTTCTATTCCATATTGTGATACAAACTAAGCCAGGAGAATAACATACAGTATATAATTTATTGCGTAATATGGGCAGCAAATATATTTGATGATGATGGTAAAAATAAATTTAAATTTTGTATAAGAACAAACAGAAGGATAATAAACACAGTCTATAAAACAGTTGTTGTGTATAATTGCCAGAGTATATCCTTTAAAATCTTAAATGTGAGGTTGTTTTTAGATGGGTTTCAGTATTACTGAAATGATATTTCACTGTTTTGAAATTAGTAAAAAGCTGGTGTTTACCAATCTAAAAATAGAAGAAACGTAATAAAATATGGTTGGTCTCTCAATAACCAGATATTTAGACTGGATTTATCCTTTTTATCCATTTATTGAGTCCTTTCCGAGGATCTGAAATAGGTAAATATTGTTTGATGATGTTAAAGATATTAATGTAGGATGTAAGCTATTCCAAATAGAGCTGTTTTTTGGAATTGACTGATGGTGATTTTGTCAATACCAGTAGTAGTCAAATGGTGTTCCAGATGTTTTGGATTGCAGCCAAGGCACCTATTACTGTTTGAGCTATTTTCCCACAGCTATTCTACTTCTGTTTGCAGATTTTTGTATTTTGTGATTTTTACCAGTCATTTTTCTTCTATTCTGCTATCCAAGTATTATTATTATTATTTCCATAGTTAAAAGATCCTACAACTTTTGAAAAATTGGATTTCATTTCATCATTTAATATTTATATATACTTAATGTACAGTGAAATAAATCTATTGTTCTGGTTTTGACTTTTGTTTTTGTACTAGATAAGTTTTTCATTTCTTTTGCTTTTTTTACTTTTGTGAGGCAACAGACTTAAACCAAGTCCTAAGCCTAACATTAAACTAAAATAAATTATATTTGTAGTGTTCTTGGTATGTTATATCTTTTTTATCATAGGCTATTACTCCAAAGAGATTACTGACATCTATTACTACTGTAAGTACTAATATTGATTTATTTTTCCCCACTCCCAAGAAAACATTATCTAAGTTTACAGTTAACTTTGATCAAGACTATTTCCAATATAGTATCAAATGCATTGTCTATGCTATTTCTTGAATAATCTGTTTCTATTTTTTTTTTTACATATGCATATCTATAGAAAACTAATCTTGCACCAGGTAAGCAAAACTTTAGGTTTTGGTATGTATTTTGATACTAATCCTGATTAATAAAGACTGAAAGAAATCATAATCTTATAAACATTTAAGTCTTATCAAGGTTGTTTATCATTCTTGCTGTTTTACAGATAGGAATGTAGGAAAATAAGTGCACAGCTGTGTTAGGGAAAGTTACAGCATTTAAAATTCACATTCTTGGTTAGGAGTCTTAGGTGCTGTGTAATTAATGAATCATAGTTAATATAGGAGCAAACAGGAAGAAAGCCTGTTTATATATTTTATTTACAATAAAATATATAAAGAGGCTTTCTTGCTGTTTGCTCCATTTTCAAACAAGAAGTATGTTTATTAATTGAAGCCATGGCCATTTCAGATAAATAAATTACATTGTGAATAGTTCCTCAGTTTTCAATTCTGTACATATACATACAAATAAAATGCACTCTGTGGTTAGATTGCATGTGTGTGTGTTTGTACACACACACACACACACACACACACACACACAGAGAGAGAGAGAGAGATACGTACATACATACATCCCAAAACATATTCATGTGTAAAATGCCAGCTTGAAGGGGATATAATGAGAGAGAGCCTGCCACATAATTTTTCTATTCTTAGAACTATGTTTGAAAATATTCTATAATTTAATCAATTAAATACTTAATTTACAAATAGAATTAACCAGTAACATTAACTAAAGATAACATATCTTTTTATTTTTGTAGCTATGACCAGTCCAGGTGGACCTAATTCTGTGCGCACAAGTAACTTTACTCTTGTTGGTTCACATACAATTTTACTGTCTTCAGTTGGGAGTACCAAATTTCTGTTGGACAAGGTAATTAATTTACATTTTGATTTTCCACAAATTTATTTATTTAGATTATAGTAGTTTAATAAAGTTCAGTAGAAGGTACATACGGACCTACTGTTGATTTTGATGACCTCTGACATTAGATTGTCAGAGATTTTTTACTTGCATTTATTTCAATGATAATTAATAGAATTACTATTATTCCTTAATTTTTATAAGTGCTGAAATGAAGGAAGCCTGACACAGTCAGGAATATATTTCGTATAAAAGTACTGACTATTCTGTTTATTTCTGGTAGGCAAGTCAATAGATAAAAATAATAACAACAAAATAACAAAAAAAATATAACGGTATACAAAAGTACACATAGCAAAATAACAAAAACTATACCAGTGTTATTGTCAGGGTTCCAAGTAGCACACCCAATGGAATCAAAACTCCAAGGCAAGCATATTCCTCAAAGTATAGATTTATTAGGCATGTCATATTGGCACATCTGGAGAAACCCGACTTTAACCCTCCTCGGGTTTCCCTCTAGTTAAAAGTGAAGTTTTCCTTTCCCTGCCCATGCAGTCCATCACATGGACTAATGAGGTCACAGTCCAGGGGTCACTTGGTCTCAGATCCCACCTCTTTGCACCTGGTGGGAAAGTCCTTGGTTCTCAGAGGAAAGAAATTTATTTTGGCGACAGTCCCCAACTATCTCTACCTCCCTCCTCCCATTCCCACAGCTCGACTCATCTCTGCTGTGGCAGCCCTGGAGGTTCCAGGGAAAATGGCTCCAGGGCTGACAGTTATACAATAAATATAAACATCTAATAGTTATTAAAGTGAATTAAAGTTATAAATGGAAGAAGAGATATATATAGCATTAAAATAGAATTACTATTTAACTAGATCAGCCTTTAACATGTTATTAAATAATACTTCTACATTTTCTCATTTTACAATGTAAAGATTTTTCAAATATTGACAAAGAATAATCTTTAGAATCCATTCTTTTTTATAACTATTTTTATTGTATTTGAAAAAAGTTAAAATACAAAACTCCAAAAAATAAAATGTAAAACAAACAAAAAGGAAAAAGCACAGAACAAACAAGATATTAAAAAGTGTGCATTAAAAAAAAGAACCCAACTCATATACACATATTATCCTTGCTAGTTGAATACTGCTTAATACATTACTATAATATTGATTTCTCAACCCTTGTGAAATGCCCCCCCCCCCCCCATTTTTAAACTATTAAATCTAGGTACAAATTAACAACTTGTTACCTACATACTATAATAGTGACAAAATAGGCCACAATAACAAAAAAAGGTAAGGTTAAAGTTCCAAAACCTATTAACAAATGATTATTATGATCAATTCGTAGAAAATTTACCATGGCATCTTATCTATCCCATATTGTCCCAAGAATTAGGAGTAATTCATCTTGAATTAAATATCCACATTTCTTTCTTAATACCATGTCTTGACAATTGTCTGATTAAAAATAATAAATTCTAGTCCCCAGAATTGGTCTAATTTTCCAACCAGGTCTATATGAAAGTGATTTCTGATTAAATGTAATAAATCCATTCCCCAATCTCCTCCAGTCCTGGAGAAAATCAATTTGTTACTTCTCCATTCAGTCAGGCTTCTGCTCTTGTAAAAGAGTACAGGTTTGAATTTCAGAAAGATGTATGCAATCCAGCTTAGTTAGTTCTAAATCTTTACAATCCATATATCTTTCCAATGGGCCTGTAGCTTTCAGATTACATTCATTCTGTGGATCTAATTTATTCAGAATATTTTCCGCAGTCATTATCATTTTATCAAACTTTTTAGAATAACTTTCAACTTAGAATTGTATGTTAACGAAAGGTCTTTTTGCAAATCACAACCACTCTTGCTTGTCTTTAATTTGATCCATTGTTATCCTGTGCTGCTTAGCCAGGAAACAAAAGAAAGCTGAAGCAAAGAGAAGCAGAGAAGGTATTTTCCAGATATTTTGATCTAAGATTAAAATAAAAATAAAAAAGAGTTCCAAATATTTTGCAATTTAAAAAATGCAAAAGCCCTGTGGTGAGAATCCAGTATTAATGTAAATAAATAAAAACACTTTTCTTTTGCAAAAACACACCATGTTTTATTAAGGAAAGCAAAAGTTATTTAAAACAAGATAAAGAGAAAAAGAATAGCTAGAGTCCAACAGAAATGAAATAAATCAGCATTCAGTCAGTCAATTTTTTAAGATAAAAAAGCAAAGTAAAGTAGAAGATTTGAAAAGAAGTTAAAACCCAGGCTTGCTTAAGAAAATGAACTGCCGAGAGGAAAATACGCCTTGTGGCTTTCTGACCATTCCAACAGGGAAGTTGAAGCTTCAAGACTCCCCTTTCAGATGGGCCCACAACTGTCCAAAAGCTGTCTTGAGTCATTCCTGAATGCTCCCATTTAAATCCAGGGAGCAACACTGCCAGAGAGCCAGCTTTGGCAGCAAAATTGGCAGATCATTGGCAGGAGAGAAAAAGCCTTTTACCATTCAGAAATCATCTTCGGGAAGAGTCCAGTCTTGAATCTACTCTTTGACAACAAGAGAGTTATTTTTTTTCTGTCTACATAGAAAAAAAATTCTTGGTTGAATCCCAATCTATTGCCAGAGTTATTAATTAAGAGATAATTATTATATTTTTGGAATATAATTCAGCATCACATTTTATCTTCGGTATATTTTTGCCCAAGATTGCATTAACATGAGAAGAAAAAAGCTCCCCAAACCAATTTACAAGTTAAGAACACATGATTTGCTCTAGCCAAGTTTATTTGAATAGCACTGGGGAAAACTACAGGGTTTCTGATTACAGACAACTTTTTTATAATTGGATAATTAATGTTCATCAGTAATGTCAAATGCCATTCATTCTATTTTTTATAACATAGATTAGTTTTTCTGCCTGTAAAGAGAATATACAATTAAAGTTGGCAGGAGGCAGCTTTTATGGTTAATTACTTCCTAGTTCCTGTTTAAAAATACTAGTATTGATTTCAGAAAACTTGTGAACCAAGTTTTCTGAAATCAATACAAATGCCTGCACAAATTATTAAGGAGTTACAAGATTTTGGCTCAGGTATTTGTTTTACTCCTCTTGTGGTGACTTGAAAAAAATAAAGAATAGTATAACAAGGACAACCAGATCATAGGCATTAGAAGGACCTTAGGTTTTTTTATAGCACCAATGCAAAATTCTGACCATTCTTTTGAAAACATTTTTTAGGAAGCCCAATTAATAAGGAACAAGATTTTCTGCTGAATTAATTTATCCCTACATTATTAACATAACACTTGAACCCCACTGATTTTTTTAAGAATGGATATTCTGATTTTTTATTCCTGAGACTCCTGTTTTAACAAAATACAACAAATGATACAATACTAAGGGGTAATGGTACAGTTCAGCTGAACGTGTTTGGTGGCATCAATTCTGAAGCTCCAAAGACTACACATGAAATGAGGCCCTGCCTTCTGCCTCTTAGAGAACTGAATCAGAGGACAAACAAACTGTAGGAAGCTGCTTCTGAATACTTTGGTTCTTTGAAATTGGTTATTGCCTAATTATGCCTCTGCTTCAGTGGCATAATTGGTCAGTTCTTAGAAATGTAGCATTCAGATTATTTTATGTGGCTGGTTTGGCTTTCAGGATTATTGTCAGGTTTTTCTTGACAACGATTAGAACTGAAAGCAGGAGCATCAAATGCCTTAAAAGATGCAAATCTCCAAAAGTAGACTAATTGGGGGAAAAAGAAACTGATATTAAATAACTACTGTGTATTTTTAGGCTCCTTTCTTGTCTCCTCTGGAAGGGCACATATATCTGAACATTAAATGTCAAATTGATTCTTGCGTGGAAGAGAGAGGGTTTTTGGTAAGTTATAGCATCTATTTTAATGTAGAATGAGATCTTGATTTTACTTTGTTCTAATTTTAAACTGTTTTCTTTGTGACTATGATAAATCTTCTAAAATCATTATGTGGCTTTCTAAGTTCTAATTTAAAAAGCATGTACCAGCATCTCTAAAATTGCAAATAATTGTAGTTGACCAAATCTTGTTGACTCCACTAGATGGCAAAATGTGCTATAAAAATGCTCGTAGTTCCAAGATCAAAATAGTTATTTAAAATAGTTATTTAATATATAGTATAAAGGATTCAAGAATCATTTAAGAATGATCAAATCTAATGAAGCAAAATTAGGTCCAAAGAGGAGATTTGCTGAAATCTAGAATACAGATAATCTTTGGTTTATAACTGTAATTGAGCCTGGCAATGATGATCATAAGTCATGACAGTGATATAGTGGGTCATCATGTGGCCAGATTCGATGTTATAACTTTTTTGCAGTAGTTGTTAAGCAAATGCCACAGTTAAGGAAATCCATTGTTAGATATAAGACAGTTAAATCAGAAGTAAATGCCAGTTTCTAGAAAAAGTATAAATTGCAGTCTGATCATAGGTCATCACAAATGACTGTCCTGTGTTTCCCTGAAAATAAAACCTACCCCAAAAATAAGCCCCAATGAAGGGGGTTGGGCTTGGCCAGCACAGGAGCGAGTGAGCAATGGTCAATGGTGCCTGGCCACAGCCCGTGCAGTACAGGTGAGTTGATTCCCTGTCCAAGCAGCAGGCAGAGGCAAAGGTGGGGGAGCCATGCGATCTGGATGCCCTGCATGGGCTGTGGGAAAACTGAGAATTGATGGGCTGCAACGGGTGGCTGCAAGAGGTTCTCTTTGCACAGTGGCACCAGCAGCAGACGTAGGCAGAGGCCCAGGAGGCAGGCAAGACAAGAGGCAGCCTCCTGCAGACATCTGCTGCTCCAGCCCACCAAATCAGCTTTCCCATGGCATGGCCAGATGGCCTACCTCCCCCCCATGCCTCTGTCTCCGTCTGCTGCTTGGACAGGGAATCAATTCACCTATGCTGCATGGGCTGCACAGCCCCAAAATGCGCCAAGGGACCAGCAGGCTGCAGCAGCTGCTGCTGGAAACCACAGGCACTTGCTGCCTCCTGTGCTCAGGGCACCCAGCTGGCTGATCATCCTGAAATCATGTTTCCTCGAAAATAAGCCCTTATTTTAGAGCCCCAAATAATAAAAAACTGTGTCTTATTTTGGGGGAAACATGGTAAATTTGGGCAGTTGCTAAGCATCAAAAATGTGAATGTGTGCCCATGCAGGGAGGTGAACTTTGGATCCAGATCAAAAGTAGTTTTTGGGAGAGTCCACAGTAACTTTGAGTTGTCACTAAGTAACTGGTCATAAGTTGAAAACTATCTGTATGGCAATTAAACAAAGCCACAATAGGAACTGTAACAAGCTGAGCTGTATGTGTGAAGGGCCAGGCCATGTTTACGAACAAATGAGGGAGAAAGTCTATGCTCAAAAATATTTTTCCTCATTTCTCTAGACTATGTTTGAAGATGTTAGTGGGTTTGGAGCTTGGCATCGACGCTGGTGTGCTCTTTCAGGAAATTGTATCTCTTATTGGACCTATCCAGATGATGAAAAGAGAAAGGTAAAGTTTATTTCTTTACTTCTGTGTATAGTTTTCTCAGAAAGAACATGTATATAGTTCGAACTTATTATCTTTGAAGGCTAAAATTACCTGTCTAGGAATATTTATTGTCAGCTTGAGTTGACAAATTAATTACATATTTTTCTGGGCAGGTCTGGTGTGGGTGCATTTGTTCATTTACTGGTGAATTTTTGTTTAGAAGGCTATACTATAATTCACTTTATGTTTGTTCTGGAAGCTGCAACTGGTACAGAACTCTGTGCCCAGATTGTTGAGTGCGTACTGGTCCTGTATATGATATTCTGTTTTTGAACTACTACCAAAATAGGCTCAAGGTTTTGGTTGTGATATATAAAGCTCTAAACAACTTGAGGCCAGAATATTTGTCATGTAACCTCCAGAGAGATCATCAAGAGTGATTTTATATCAAAAATTGCTGAATGTCACTGGGCATTATCTGGACTTTATGTAAAAAAAATTGTCTCTGGAATAAAGAAGGCATCTAATTTAGCATAATAGTTTATGATGCTAGAAGCATTGTTTAGAATTATTTATTTTAATATTTTATTTTTTAAAGACAGTTAAACCCTATTTAATCAGATCCCCATACTGTGGACTCTACATGCACTTTCACACATTTACTGTGATTTATGTAATTTGTATAATGTTCTAATAATGTTACTGCATCTGCATAATGCAAATTATATCATTTGCAACTGTGTTATATTTAGCACATTAATGTAGTTGAATAAAAAACATAAATGCTTATAGTGTCCTGTTCTCTGATTCCATGGAGTTTCCACAACTTCTTCCTTCAAATTAGTCTGATAATTTTGCTGCTTTTATTGAATAGTTTTATCATATATTTTATTTGTTTTTCTGTAAGTCTCTTTGCCATGTTATAGTATTATAAGCAGAAAACAAATCTATAAATAAACATTTTTAATTTCAGCATCCACTGGGCTTCATAAATTTGGCAAACTGCACTAATCGTCAGATTGAACCAGCCAACAGAGAATTCTGTGCTCGTCACAATACTTTTGAGCTAATTACTGTTCGTCCCCAGAGAGAAGATGATAAGGAAACATTAGTTAGCCAATGCAAAGACACACTCTGTGTTACCAAGTAAGCACTTTTCTAATCCATATTCTGTTCTTCAAAGAGTTGAGTATATATTTTTTTCTATTATACGTAACTTTAAATTGATTGTTTACATGGCCTGGCTATCAGCATTGTTGATTAAGTTATAAGGATGATGTTGGAATTGTGATACCTTTTTTACAATTAATAAAATAATTTTGGATACTTCTTTAGTTTTGACAATCCATTTTTCCTGTATAGGATCATTTAAAAATAATATTCAATCTCATTTTTTTTAAAGGAACTGGTTATCAGCTGATACTAAAGATGAACGTAATCTTTGGATGCAGAAGTTAAACCAAGTGCTTATTGACCTTCGTATGTGGCAACCTGATGCTTGCTATGTCCCTATTGGAAAACTTTGAATTATGGTTTCTCCTTAAAGCTTACTTTAAGAGCTAAATACAAACTGTTATTTTTAAATGAGTGATATGTAAGCAAAATTAATATAAGCTGAATGGTGCAATATTATGGTTGCTCAGTAACGCAGCTTCCACAAATATTTTCTACTTATATCAATATGCTAAGATGTAACTACATCTGCTTTGAAAAATTAGACATGCACTTCCTTTATATGATGTGGCTTTAAATAAACACTAATACTTTATACATTGTCCCTGTCCCTTTTTCATAATTTTGTGAGTCTTAATATTTTTTTTATTCTTAAGCTATGAAGAAGACTTCAGCAAAAATAAAAATGCTTGTCAGAAGAATTGTCTTCCAATTATTGTTTTATTGACATAGTGCAAAAGACTGGATCCAAACATACCTAAAGTTAGTAGGTAAATCCACAAAGTATGAACATGAATATAGGAATATACACAATTTCTTGATCAAAAACAGATGTTTTAAAGAACTCTAAAACATGTTTTCTCTCTGGACTCACCTTTCTTAACCACATTATGCTTTAGGTCCATGATGGCAAATCTATGGCACACATGCCAGAGGTGGCACGCAAAGCCCTCTCTGTGGGCATGTGAGCCGTCGCCCCAGTGAAGCTCTGCTGTGTATGCATGCGCATGTCCAGCTGATCTTCGGGTCTCTGCTGTGCATGCATGGGAGACGCACATGCATGCACGGGGTGGGGCGCGTGCATGGGAGACATGCATGCATGCACAGGGATGTGCGTGCATACACATGCATATGGGGGGGCAGGATGCATGTGCAGGAGACGTACATGCATTGCATTTTGGGGATGCACGTGCGTGTGTGCACTTTGGCCACTCAGTACTGAAAAGGTTAGCCATCACTGCTTTAGGGGTTTTTTTGTTTTTTGTTTTTTTGAGAAGTAAATCCTTCAAAATACTGTGGTTTGAATTAGTTCAGTTCTGCTACAAGTTTATTTTTCCTTAAATCTTGAACTGCTTCCATTCATTGTATTGTATTTCAGGAAACCATTGAATAATCTTTAAGAATGGCACAGTCTGAAGACAATTCCCTTAGTCCACTCGGAATGATCTATATATCAGCACATTTTCCATATCCCCAAGACCTAATCTTTGGGTCAAGTGAATAGAGGGAAGGATTCAATCTAAAAACAAATTTCCAGTATCAAGTTCCTGAGAGGAGAGATAAATTGGGAGAACTATTGGCTCTATAAGACCTTCTTACATAACATACCTGCTAAGAGAAAAAAGTGTAACAGTGCAGTTTTAGGAAAATAGCCAAGGAAAGTTGTGAAAGCAGTGAAACAAGGGCACTTTTTCTTTTTTTCACAAGCTAGAGTTTAAATTGAATTAATGGCATTTGATTAAGATACTCAACTCAAGAATAAGGTACTTATATTTGTACAAATCCTGATGAATTTATTTTAAGGCTGATTATTAAAGAAAAATGAATGTTTCGAATGAATCCAGTTTTAAATTTCTATCAGACTTATTTTACAAGAATTTATTTGGTTATTTAGCTTTTACTCTTAAGGAACTGATTAGAAAGAAAACTTTAAATCTGTTTAAAATACATGTTTTAAATATATGACGAATACTTAAAACCTTAAACTAATCCCTGTTGACGGGGGAGGGAACCAAAATTTTGTTCATATACACAAATGTAAAGCTTAAGTGGCATTAACTTGACAAATGTAAGAATATTTTAGTTGATAATTCTTTAAACAAATATGTAACTTTGCTGAAGTGTTCTTTGTGGTTTTTTAAAAATGTTTTCTTTTAGTCAGAATTATTAATTAACTTATTCTGCTGATATAGTAGCATTGCACAAATTCATACTGGACAACAAAAATGCCACTTAGTTTTTTATGATTTATTGAGCACGACATTAATAAAATGGTTATAATACTAGATTTAAAGCACTTCTAGTAAAAACTTAATTCTGCCTTTAATATTGTATCTAAAAACAAAGGGCAAACTTGAATAATAGGCTGGAAAGTTAGAAATATAGTACAGTGGAGCCTTGGGTTGTGACCATAATCCATTCTCAGACTCTGGTCACGACCTAATTGGGTCGTGTCCAGAAAGATGACCAACTGCGCATGCATGCAGTAAAAAAAAATGGCACCGAAGGGGAAATTGGCGCGAAAAGGGAATCCTGTGCTGATTTTGTTTGCCACCCAATTTTTGAATCGTGACCCGATTCAAAAATCAGGTGGTTTTTTTTTTCGCCACCTGATTTGGTCATGAAGAGGAGCATTTGCAACCTGAGGTTCCACTGTATATAAAAATAATCCTGCCCAATCAGGTGAAAGTCCATTTTAGTCCAGCATTTTCCTTTCTCACTTTTAGAGAACAGTGTATTCTAAAAATGGAATCTGGGCAGGGGTGGGATTCAATTTTTTTAACAACCAGTTCTGTGGGCGTGGCTTAGTTGGTGGACATGGCTTGGTGGTCATGTGACTGGGTGGGCATGGCTTGGTCATGTGATTGGCTGGGTGTGGCCAACTCAACATCACTCACATTGAGGGACGTTTCTTGTCTGGCTCTCGTGACTGGGGATGCTGCAACTGTCATAAGTGTGAAAAACAGTCATAAGTCACTTTTTTCAGTGCCATTGTAACTTTAAATGGTCACTAAATGAACTGTTGTAAGTCAAGGATTACCTGTACAAAAATAAAAAAGCTTTGTTTGCAAAAAGCTGCCCTAAATACAAATCATTAAATTAAAAATACCTGCAAGCCAGAGTTGCAAATCAGGCAGGGTACCAGAGCACTTGAGGAATTAAAATAGTTAAAATGATAACTATCAGCAGCCAACTCTTGCTCATAAAGTTAAACCCGTTAACAGAAATAATTTAAGCTCTCCAGAAAAAGCACACCCAGGAGAAGAAATCCTTAGATCCATTTGCACCACTTAAAGTCACGAGCTAGTCTCACTCACCTCATGAGAAATCATCCAGATTTAAGGAAAGCTCACATGCCTCGCAGAAAGGCTCCATGTGAGCTCCACGGATGGATCTTCTAAATTGATTTCAAGGTTAGAATTTCTGCTTGCCTGTTCCATGAAAATTTGACGTTGACAGCAATAGCAAGGCCATAAAATTAAACACAACATTGCTTTTTCTGTGTTGCTATATCTTCTAGGATTGTGCAAATCTTTGAGGGAATGTTTTACTTTGAGAAAGCCTTGAATGTTCTTCAAATCAACATTGTCTTTGCTCCTGAGAGCAGATCAGGCATATACTTTCCCTATGCTAGATTTAGTTTCTGCATATACTTAGGCATATACTTAGGCAAAACTATGCTGCTGCAAAACAGTAAAATGTGTGTTATTTTTCTAAGTTCTGCAGTTCTGGGATGGGAGAAAGAAAGGGTGGGAGGGGAAAAAGGAGAGGGAGAAAGGAAAAAAAGGGAGGGAGGGAAAAAAGAGGAACGAAGGGCCACAAACCTTGGCACTGGATGCAATTTCAGAGGATGCTTTGAAACAGCAATCCAGAGCTGCAAGGTACCTGGAGGTCATCTAGTCCAACCTCCTGCTCAAGTAAGTTTCTGTCTTTTGACCCCCAGTCACATGATCACATAGCCATGCCCACCAAACCACGCCCACAGAACCAGTAGTAAGCTTTTTTGAATCCCACCACCGATACAGAAGTGCAAAATGATATAGCTATCCTTAGTAAGGTTGGTAACTTGAAATGGCTAAGGAAATATAAATATACTTTTTGTTTTTAATTCTAGAAAAAAAAAATTGACATACATTTAAA